TTTTTTTTTAATAAACAAAAATAAAAATTGATGATTAATTTAGAAATTTTAATAAAATAACTGAACTGAACAATTATTAGCAAAAACAAATTGTTACAATTGCTTTGCGATTGCAATGACTTGGTTGTAAACATCTTAATAGTTCAATTTAAATATTTTTTTTGTAAAGGTTGTCACGAATTCAAAAAGTCAGCACGTCTACCTTTGTGAATTGAATAAAAATTAATAATTAAATTATTTAATTTGTTATTTGTAACTTTATCAAAAAAATAAATATGTAAGTATCAATATTTTAAAGAGTTGTATTAAATAGTCTCAGGTTAGATTTGGTCTTTTCACTCCTAGTAATAGATAGTTTTTATTAGGTATTTCTAATAATAATATTGTTTATTTAATTATGCCATTTAAAGCGGCATTTATTTGTTATGTAAGTAAATAAATAACTAATTAAATATCAATTAAAATAATTTTTCATTTTAATTTTAAGTTTCAGCATAAAGCTCTGAATGTTTTTAAATAATTTGTTATTTACTCAATTGAAAGTAAAATCGGTAACTGAGTTTCACTTCAAACTAAATATACTGTTGAATAAGAAATCACATTTACAATGGAAAAGATTTATTGTTGTGGTTTATGGGTTTAGTCCGCGCGGTTTATTAGGAGGACAATCTTTTCTACGCTGATTGTACGTTGAGTGATTTTTTGTGAAGACAAAATGAGCGTATTTTTTTGTATACTATAGGAGTATTGTCATAATAATAAACTATGCTACTAATTTAATCACGTTGTTTTATTTAGTACAACTTGCAAGTGCTTCTTTTTTAGCCTTGATTATCCTTTATTAGGACAATCTTTTCTACGCTGATTGTACTTCTATGAGGGTCAGGTCCTATGAGGGTCTCAGGGGCCAAGTAAAATGCATTAAACATTTGAAAAAGGAATTGCTCTTAATTTTGTTGTCATCCGGACTTTACCTTCTTCAGTCTTGCCAACTTATTTTTAAAATTACAAACCGCATCGTTYCAGTAMWACAYAAGKTAAAAAAATACTTACAAGAGAATCCAGCGATGACAGAAAAGCAACTCAGTCGCATCCTTGTGCTTTTCCAAATGTTCGTAAAATCGAGGCACCATCAGTTTCACCAACTCCCTTAAATARCGCAACGACCTATCCATATCCCTATCCGTAGGCGTTGCGACGAAGACCGCCCTTTGCATCARCCCAACAAAACACCAAAACGCTGCCACTTCATCTCTGAGTTCGCAAAGAACCGGCGCCAACAAATCACTCATGCCTTGCGTATACCCCAAACCTGGGTTGTACACAGCATAATTGAGTAAAATATTCTTCATTACGTCTAAATTAGGATTGTCATCGCCGGCGAAAAAAGGGTTTCCTCGGTCGGTCCGCACGACGTCTTTCTCAATAACACTTTGGACTTTTCTCCGGAATTGGTTGAGTTGGACCCCAGATAGATCGAGACGTCGCCTTGTGATTTCGTCGTATTCTTGACGCCGGATTTCTGCGATTTGGCTGCGCTCTGAGAAGGTACTTTGGTAGGGGTAGACGTGGAGGAGGAATGGCCAAACTTCTTTTCGAAGGTTTCGCTCCATTCCGGAGAAGAAGATTGATTTGCGCAAACTTAAGTCGTCCTCGAGTTGGCCGACTTCATTGAACAAACTTCGGAACATTTCTTCGGTAAGTTTGGGGACTTGACCTTCTTCTGGGTGGAGCTCAAGGTCGGAAACTTCAGGCCGACATACCATAAAGTGGCGGTAGGGGAGGTTTTCTTCGTAACCTATAAAAATATTTTGTCAAGTTTTTGATCCAAATTTTACTAGTCGAAAAAATAAACAAAATGATAAAAAAAATAGAAATCCAAAAAAATCACTAGCTGTTTATACCTATTAATACAGGGTGATGAAAAAAAAAGAGCTCACGATTGAAACAGACACGTCCTTTTTTATTGAAACATTGTGACCATCATTCCAAAAATAGTCTAAATAGATTCTTTTTAAAATTTAAACAGTTTGTCTAACAGCACAAAGCGGCAATATTGCACAATTTTCTTTTACTAAAAAACTATTTCACTCAGGTATTTTTCGTATCTAGGAAAGATATTGTCACCGCATTAAATAAAAACTGTAAAGTATACATAATTTTATTATTCCAATAGGATACGACCGAAAGGTATCTAATGATTTCAATTAATTTTTTTAATCTTTGACTTTTTGACTTTAATCACTCAAATTTCACAGAACAAGCAACATTGAAAATTGATTTTTTTGTTGCTACCGTTTCCAATAATAGAATATTACTTGGACATTTTCTGTATCCTAGGAAATTTGCAATGTTGCAACATTGATAAATTTTCTTTGGAGCCAAGAAATGGTATCCTAACATCTTCAATAAAGTTTATTTCAATAGACTTTTTACATATTTTTTTTTAAGAACACCGTCAACTGTATCAAAATCTAGACTTTAACAATGAAATTATTTTAAAACTGTTTCTCTTTTCTAAAAAGGAAAGTCTATATCTTACTGATATGAGCACAAATTCTATTTTGGTCTACGAATTCGTCTTTAATAAAAGATTACTTATAACCTGTAGGTTAACACGGGCGCCTTTTTTTCATCATACTGTATAACGAGAATATTATGCGAGTTATAATAATCGAGGACGTTGCTAAATGACGAGGCAACAGCCGAGTCATCTTAGCAACGTCCGAGATTGTTTAAATTGCAAATACTCGAGTTATATTCAAAACTTTATCGTATCATCGAAACAAGCAATTTTAAAACAAAACACTGATTTTGAATTGAATTAAAAAAAATTGACAAAAGTTTTGCAAAGTTTGGTCGTGCTTGGTAAAAGTAATGGAAGATTTTGGTATTCCTGCACGTATTTTAAAGTCAGCAGAAAGTGTCAAAATAGATTTGACAAGTCAAAAATTGAATACGAAAATGAATATCGTGTTTTTTGTGAGTGGCGAGGTTGGAGGTGCTGGAGAAACCGTTTTGCTATAGTATTTTGCAAAACTTTCAAATGAGTATTCTCCTTCATCATTATGGCCGAAATATTCCATGTTGCGAGCTTGTTTGGAACTAAAATAAAGAATCGAAATTGACAAATATGATTCTTTGATTAAATTTATCAAAAAGAAGAATGTTGGACACCGGCATAAAAAATCTTCAGTACTGACGAAGGAACAAGTTGATGGATTTTTGCGTACAGCTCCAGATGAACCTTTTTTGATGATAAATGTAGCAATCTTGATTGGACTTGCTGGAGCTTGCAGAACCAATGAATCACTGAAGATGTCTACCGATGACGTTGAAATTTTAGAGAATAAGGTAAAGTCTGTTTTTTTTTTTAATGGAAATGCCAAACAGCCTTTACGTTGGCATCACTCGTAAATTCATTCATGGTAATTTTAATAAAGGAAGTTGGCAGTTCCGGTTTTTTGAATTAATTTGAACATAATGTCATTAAACGTCAAGACAAAAAATCGTCTAAGAAAATTTGGAGACGAAACACCAAAAAAGAAACAAATTCGGTACAGTAACAGTTTTTCGAAATTTGGAAACGAATAGTTCGCAAGCAGAAAGTTAGAAAAAGGGCCCGTTAAAATGTAGACGCAATTTGTAATGCAGGTTTGCTAAATATTCTTAATTTTTAGCAAGAAATCGACAAGAATACAAAATAAACATGAATGAGAAAGAACCTCGGAAAGAACGCAATTAAATTAGTGTCTTGTGCATCGTTTTTTGAGGAACGAGTTGAAAAAGTAACAATTTTGAAACTAAAGCGGAAGACGAATTTATAAAATGTATCAACTTTGAACTCGTTTCAATAAATTACACAAAATTTATTGCCAATCATCATAATACCTACTTTTATTTTTTGTTAAATAACTTTTTTCTGTATATATGTCGTAGTCATTGGGCGTAATGCGTCATTCCGCGGAAAGCCTAGTCATTGGCCGTACTGCCGGCAGAAGCTGTAATCAAATGAATATTCCTTTGTGTGACTGAAATTTTACGTCGTTTCAGGGATTGCCTACTTAATTCTCGTCAAACAAAGTAACCGGTTAAAACATTACATGTTACAGCGTTTGACGGAAGTGTATTTAGTCATTTGCTGAAAGCTTGAAATTTTATTGTGTATTATTTCGGGCCGTAACATTTAGTAATTGTTGGACTTTTCTTATTGAAAATGGATAATCATAAGAGTTTGTTTTATGACAAATTAAATGAATATTATTTGAAAAACAAAGATGCCAAAAAACCGTGGAATTATGAAGTAATGAAGGAGGTAAAAGACTTCTAACCTCAAAATACACCTTTATTTCAATTGTACATATTTTAGGCTGCAAAAGATATTTCTAAAAAATGTATTTTTATTTTTGTTTAATTTACCTGAAGGCAAAAAATACATTTTTAACTGTCGTTTTTTGTATGATTTTATAATATTATATGTTTACATTATACCAAATAAACGAAACAAATATTTTGCTACAATAAAAATATTTTAGTTTTTTTTCTTTTCTTTTCTTCTACCAAAAATTTACATTTCTGCAGAAAGTATCAAACATTTCAAGACTTTTCAGCAAATGACTAAATACACTTTCGTCAAACGCTGAAACATGTAGTGGTTTAACCGGTTACTTAGTTTGACTAAAATTAAGTGGGCAATCCCTGAAATGACGTAAAATTTCAGTCAAACAAAGGAATATTCATTTGATTACAGCGTCTGCCGGCAGTACGGCCAAAGACTAGGCTTTCCGCGGAATGACGCATTACGCCCAATGACTACGACATATACATCCTTTATCTTCAAAGTTTTTGTAGCAAGAATCTCATTTTTGTCCACAACATTGTACTTACTTGCGGTGTGTTTCTGTCAAAATTATTAGCACTGAATTCTGTCTTTAGACATTAGATAATGTCTGTCCTCAGGTATTCAATTATAGTGCTTTCAAAGAGCAAACAGGCACACAAGATTTATAAAAGTCAAAATTTTGACAACATCTCAATTTAAACACATAACCATAATTTTTTAACAAAATTTCTAGGGACAGAAACAAAGAGCAAACAAAATTTGTGGCTAGGAGACAAGCTGCTACCAATTTTTTCACCAAAATTTTGACTTGGTAATTTCCATTTAAAAAAAAAACAAACTTTAGTTATTACTGTTCCTGATTCAAAAACTTATAAAAAAAAGATTTTTTGCAATTGTGTCTGAGGGTGATGTCAATCCCGTAATTTTAATTAAAAAATATGCAGCGTTCCTGAAAAATTGCTACGTATCTCAAACTCGAAAATCCAGCTATGTACACCGGCCACTGCATTAGGAGAAGTGCAGCGACGATGCCGTAGCGAACTGCAAGAGTTGGGTGGATGGGAGTCTAGCAAGGTTGCAAAGGGATATTTAGAAGAAAATCTTGAAAAGAAGATGTCCATTGCGCAAAAAATTCAGGTCGGAAGGGTATCTATGGCAAGTGTTTCTGGTACTAAAGAATCAATGAAAATGTGTGCTAAATTATCTGGGAGCGCTTCAGGAGATGCGGCAGTCAAGATGGATGGGAAAGATGTGTCTTTCAGTTTTCATAATTGTAAATATAGGGTGCGCCAGAACTCGCGCCTCAGAGAAAAATTTCAAGTAAGATAAGATACCAGGAACATGGAAAAAATGTTTACAAAATTCTATCTGTCAAAAAGTTTTGACATATATTTTTTGACATTGACATTTTTTTATGTCTATTTAATGATACTGATGATCTTGTATGTTTTTTTACAATTATTTAGTAAAGGTACAAAAATGTTTTTTGAATTAGAGAATTGAATTTTTTTCATGTCCACGTTCGTATATCAATTTTGTGGTTGAGTAAAGTAAATAATGTCTTTCTTTTTTTCTTCAGTGTGTAACAATGGCATTCTATTGTATCCAAAAAAATTTGGTTTTCAAAATTACCATTATTTGAACAAGAAATTATCTAGATAACAATCCACAGAAAATACGTTTTGTGTCTACAAGTACTCAAAAAGTCGAGCACCAATTTGAAAATTTAAGATAGATAATAGTGTGACTTTTGAAGAAGTGAAGTTTGTACTTACAGATTTTGTGAATTCTGACTTCCAAGAATTTTTACAAAATTATTATAAATCTTATAATGCATATGCTTCTGGTGCGCGATTTATTGAGCGCCCTATACCGGGGTGGCATCGGTTACGCGACTTCTAATTAATTAAACCTGGCGATATTTTATACAGGGTACGATAGAACTCGCGCCCCAGAGAAAATTATCAAATAAGGTAAGATATCAGGAACATGAAAAAAATGTTAAAAAAATTGTATCTGTCAAAGGATTTTGACATTTGACATTTTTTTATATCTATTTAATGGTACTGATGATCTTGTATATGTTTTTTTACAATTATTTAGTAAAGGGACAAAAATTTTTCCAATAAAAGCCACAAATAACATTGAACAGAGTTACAATTTAGGATATAGCTTCTTTGTTTCCTCTTCTAATAGACTGTAGCAAAAAAAACAAAAAAAAATTTTTCCAACAGAAATAAATAGTCAAAGTCCAAAATTTAAACTCTCATAACTTCGAAATTTTTATAGATAATTTTTTTTTATCATTTTTTCCATGTTCCTGGTATCTTACCTTATATGGCATTTTTCTCTGGGGCGCGAGTTTTGACGCTCCTGTATTGAAATTAATGTTATCAGTTCTAAAAAATTATTACAATAAATCATCATATCTAGCAGTAACTATTGTATTATGTGTAACTAACGTGTTACGGGATTTGTATGATATTGTGCAGAAATATTTGCAATTATAGAGACATAATAAACGATGATACGATAAAAGTTTAATATTTATTTTTTCACCTTTTGCATGCTTGATATTATGTAGCAACGAATGCCACTGATGCAACACCTGCGCCAAATGGTCCAACCCTCCGTGATGGAAATGCAAAATTTTGTATTGCGATTCTCTTGAGGCCACAACAAGTTGTCCACACGTGCAATTCGCATCGTTGAAAAAAAGTCGCAGTGACCGCATTTGACTCAAATCAACACTGAATCTTCTGCATTTATGTAGCTGCTTTGTTGGTAATACAGGCGAACAATTGTTGCTTTCAGGAAACATCAAATTATGCTTTTGAGCTAGAAATTCCGGTGTTGTAATCCAATTCAATTGACTGTCGTTTGAAGTAACACTTCCGGATCGGGAAAACTCGAATTTTTCTGCGGAATCTTTGACGCTGTCTGGAGTTGTAACGATTTCAATGTCTGGATTAGCGATATCGACGTTGATGTTGATGATAGTGCCTTGTTTATCACTGTCTTCGGAACTCAGGGAATCGGTGGTGTCGTAATTAAGGAATGGGTTTGTGCTTTTGAGTTCGATACTAGCTGGACGTTCTGAAAATAACGTTGTTTAGGACTTTTGAATCAGTTTATTAAAATATTCAATTTTAGAGTTTGATTTTAATTTGATTTCTTTCTATTGAAACTCCTATCAAAACCCGGCGCCTCCACCAAAATTGACAAACACAATAATGATAATAATTAGAGCTTGTGAACTTGGAAAAGGACCACGATAGGCGGAGCCAAAACGTACTCAGTATACAGGGTGTTTCACACAACTTTACGAGGCTTGCGCCTAATGTACGCACCCAAATATACAAAAGTCACAAAACACTGGATACAAAAAATACACATTTAATTATTTAATTTTTGGAAACCCATGACGGTAGTTGTCAAACTAATCACTGTTTTATTAATAGTCATAAACTGCAGTTTTTCACAAACAATTATCATTTGTTCTATCAATAGACGGCATAAATATGATTCTAGTTTATCTATCTTAATCTCTAACTAACAAAAAACGTTGCAGTTTTTTAAGGGGTGAACAAACTAGAGAAGATTATCTAATTTTTCAAAATTTGCAATTGAGTTCGTATTGGAATATGTATTATTGATTGCATCTTTCAGGTGTAGGCCTCGTAAAATTATGTGAAACACACTGTAGTGGGGAAATTTGAGCAGTGACGTAGCATTCTGCGGTCAAAAAGGAGTTTTGAGTTACAGTTTTGTATTATTTTTTTTTCCGATGATGATTGCAATAATAAATATAATAAAACTCTCGTAGGATGCTAATACATGTTGAAGCTATAAAACTTGTGATGTCTTCAAAATTTTTTCCAACGCTAATATCGAATCAGAAATTTTACTAAATTTAGAAATTGTTTTAAAGAAATTGAAATAATGTCAAAATTGACAAAATGTCTAGATAAGTTTATTTTATGTACTTATAAAGTATGTTGTGATTGCCGTCGTATTTTATAGAAGAGCGTACAGTTGGAGACAAAATACTTTGGTCGTCAATGTCACTTGAGTGACATTAAATTGTAAAGCATGCTTTAGGACTGTTAACCTTATTTTTAGCTACTGTCAATCACAGTTGACAAGTTGTACATATTTTTGATAGAAAAATATAATATCTGTCATTAATTTGAAATTGACATTTATTTTAACGTTAAAGCTTGAATTACATTAAAGTGTCAGAAAAGTGACGACCAAACTATTTTGACTCCAACTGTATATTAACGGCAACATAAAAGTAAGCTTAAATGCACTACAGAATACTTTCACAACTTGCCTGGCGGCTTGCCAGTCATCACTTTCCCATCGTAAGTAAAAACTCTTTTACCATTCTTGCAACGGTAATAGTATATTATGTTATTAGGACTAAAAATGATAGTTTATATGGCGAAGCTGAGCGTTTATTGTGCCGAACGGAGTGGAGCAAATGATTCAGCTCAACCACATAAACTTACTTTTACTCCAAATAACATACAGGGTGATTCAATGAAAACGAGCCACTCCGAATATTTCAGAAACTAAAAAGACTTTGCAAAAACGCCGCAAGAGGGCAATTTTGTTCCCAAAGGGACATTTTTTGACGTAATTTTTAAAGCACCTTAAGTTACCCCATAACCCCCACGCACCCCAACTTTAAAAATTTAAATGGCACTACCTCACTTGTGGCACATCAAATGAAAGATATTTTAACAAGCTTTTCAAGACTTTTTACCAAAATTGAATTAGACCATCTATTTATGAGATACAGGATGTTTTAATCAAAACAAACCACTCTAGAAAGAATTTGCAAAAAAAACTTTGAAACAGGTCAATTTTGTTTTTAAGAGGAACATTTTTTGACACCATTTTAAGGCACCTCCACTAGACTTTTAAACTCTATGCCACTTAACTCCAAAATGTCAAATAGCACCAACACACTAGTGATACATAAAATGAAAGCACTTTTAAAATGTTTTTCAAATGCTTTTTTATAAAATGAAATGATTTCTATAAATTTATAAATTATCGGAAAAAAAATCTTACAGCAGTCAGTGTGTACAAAGGAACTTAAGAACTATTGCTATGTTTTAGGTACATAAAATTATAAGAAACTTATTCACCATTACTTGGGGTTCTTTAAAAATTACGTCAAAAAATGTCTCACTTGGAAAAAAATAACTTGTTTCGGCGTTTTTGAAGTATTTTTAGTTTCTGAGATATCCGGGTTGGCTCGTTTTCATTTTGACCCTGTATACTATTTTACCCGCAAACGTATCCAAATCGACAGTAAAGAGAAAACAATGTTATCAAGTACCTAAATGAACAAAATAAACAGGATGCTTTGCAATGAAAAAATGTCAGTGTCAGAATTTGTGTTGAGATTTTTGAAAGTGTTGATTCATTTAAATAACTAGCGTAGTTTATAATGCAAAATGTCGAATGCTGATAATCTACAATGTATCTCTCTAGAAAATGCTGAAATAGTGAAAGAAACAAGAAAGAGTAAATGTCAGGTGAAAGTGAAAAACGCTTAGGCGTTTTTTTTACTCCACTTGTGTCATTTAGTCATAAAAGGGTCATTTTTCTGACGTTTGCGGATAATCATTTGCGCAACTACATTGAATTGAGAAAAAAAAGACAAAACGCTTGCATTACTTATAGATGATATAGAGCAATTCTTTTTTATAAATTGAAATGCTTTCTGCTTTTATAAATTGGTATTTTTAAAATTAATTGTATTTTTTTATTTCATTTTACAGATTTTATTTTACAACTAAAGAAATGGTCATGGTTTATAAGACAATTCTTGACAATAAACCACCACTGTGAGAAGCTATTATACATTTTCAACATGTTTTTGTACGAAACTTATAAAGCAAACAACGTAGAAGGTTTATAATTTACTTCTACCTCCCTAATTATAAGTACATATTTAATAAATAAGTTTCAAAATTATTATTAACTATCGAGCAATCAAGATAATTTGTAATCGAGTTATCCTTGGATCCGAAAACGTGTGTCTGTAAAATGTCAAGTAAAATGACAAGTCGAAAGGTAAAATGGCATGATCAAAAAAATGATGATTATAATAAGTAATAACTAAATTTATAATTTACCTTCCAAAAAGAGCAGTCCTACTCGTATTATTATACGTTATTATTCCAGTCCATTTTGCCGTTTTACCTTTAGACTTGTCATTTTATTTGACGTTTCACATGCAGTTAGACATATAATCCATTTCATTGAAATTGGCATAACAGTAGGCCATGATTGTGTAAACCGCGCTTTAAATGTGAAAAAGGCTTTACATATTAAGGAACTAAATTTGTCACTAAAAAAAGTGAGGTTAAGATAGTTAAAATTTTACTTTTAAAGAACCCTTTTTCAGAGGTTTTCAGAGAGAGTTTTTTTCCATAAAAAGTTTAACATCCTGTTTCATTCCTTTGTAGGTGTAGTTTTAACAACAAACCATACACTATTTGCTCTGGAGAAAATACAGACTTTTGTTGATAATAAGTAGCTTCTAGGAATTTTAAAAGACGTTTTATTCATACCGGAGATGAAACGTCTAAAACAGGAACAACAAAAAGAAATTGATTACGTTTTCAAACATAGGTACTTTAGCGTGTACTTTAAATCTGGGGTTCTGAAGAAAACTACTTTTAATTTATAATTACTTAATTTGAAAAAATAGTGGGAATAACGAACAAGCAACGAAAACACTGAAAAAACGAATACAAATGTCAATCATGTCAGTTCAGTAAACCATGTAATCAAAGAAAAACAAAAACCCCATCAGCTGTTGTATCAGGGACAAGCACAGGGCTACAAACTTAAATATGAAATTCCATAGCCACCTATTATGCCAATTTCAATGAAATCTACTATACGTTCTCGGATGCAAAGATGACTCGATTACAAATTATCTTGATCGCTCGATATTATTATTTTTATTTTAGTTTTAGTATGAACTTAAGATTACGCAAACTGACTTATTACAAAAATTCAGTGTGGACAGTGTCAGATTTCCATAGCCAAGTTTTTTATAATTACCTGGAATACTTCCGTTGGAATCATTCGAGTTTAAGCTTTCCATGCTAGTCTGCTTGTTGTGGTTATAGGAATTTTGTAGAGCACTGGGGCATTTGGTTAGAGCTGTGTTTGGAATCCAGGTGAGGAAAAGCGTGGGTCTTTTTGTCTCGTTGTATTGATCAACGAAGACCTTAGAGGTGATGCTGAGATATCCAGGATGATGGAGAATATCAGTGTCTTGCCGCACCATCGCTGGTGGATGTACACATACGTTGTTTTTGCAGAAAAGCACTTCGTTGTCTTCGTACTGAGCCATCTTTGATAACTCTTCATCGGAGCCCAAAATGTACGTCGACGCGCGCCGAATTATGTCTGCCAGAGGCATGATTTCAATCTGAAAACACAATAGAAAATCACTTTTTAATGTGCGATATGTTTTCTTGACAGTATCAAATGACCATGAATATTTATTTATTAAATGAATATGTCTTAATTTTGGGTTTCAAATAAAAATAATAATACGATTCTCATTTTCCGTTTCGGATAGAATCATTAGATACATATTTTATTTTAGACAGTAATTCAGTCTTTTTTTACTTTTTATAAACTTTAGTTTGCAATACTCTTATAAGCAGTTTCTCATTTTCTGTTGGTTTAAGTTTGTTACCTGTCAAAATAACTTGTTAACAACAGCTTCCTAAGTTTTTAATAGTTATTTTTGCACGACGGGAAGTAGAAATCAACTTTTCTTATATCAAATCTGTAACAGAAGATAAAATTCTCTCCCGAAAGCGAGAAATTTGCTTAATGAAAAGAGCAACTATTTGCTTTGCACCTCATGAATAATTGTGCATTTTTCTCTCTTTATGTATAATATACTATTTATTTATTTTATTTCCGGGGGAATAACCTTTTATTTTTTGTTGGGAGCAAAAATTTTAATTTGAATAAGTATTATCCCGGCGCATCCACCAAATTTTAATACTTTTTTATTTTTTCTATCTATTATCATTAAAGCATACTGTAACAGTTTTTATTGTTTGTTGGATATACCTATTTACAATCATTTTATAATTATAAATGTTTAAAGTTTGTGTGCACACAAATACATGTGCTTAAATTTTGAAAGATTTATTCTCGAAAATATAATAATTGAGTCTGCATTTTTGCTTGACATTTATCTGAAAAGAAAGATAGAAATCTTTTATGTATTTTTCATCTATCAGTCCGAATAGGCTATAAATATTTCAGAGAAAAGATAGATTGTCCGCATATGTTATGCAAACTCCTACACTTTGAGAGAATTTTAGTTCTTTGAATAAAAAATAATTATGCAACAAATAATCAAAAAATTGTGTTTTAACCTATATTATACAAAATTTTGTGTAATTAATGATATTTTTTTCAAGCTGTTTTTATTTTACTGTAGTAGTAACAGTTTTTTGGTAAGGCTGGAAAAGTTATTAAAAAAAATTAAAAATACCGGGTATCCGGAAAAAACTTTGAAATATTTCAGTGGTTGGTTCCCTAGGTTAAAATAAAAAAGTTCCTATGGACCCATGTCCGTTTCTAACCTAGAGTCGAGAAAAACGTTATTCTATTTCTTAATTGGGAAGCGAGTTATGTGAGATTGATAACGCTATGATTCCATTAAATGTCCAAAACACAATTTCTACTACAACATTTGGAATTTTTTCAAATGGCACAAAGCCTATATTCTAAGAGTTACAAAACTATCTGCATTTTGTTTAATTTTTATCGAAAAAAAATTTCATACAAGTTTCCAATTTAACATTAAATCGCACAACCTAAAAACAAATCAAAATTTTATTTTCAGTACTCGATCACACTTTTTTAAGAGGTTAATAGATTTTTATTTAAAAAAACACAAGTTTATCTTATTACGGCTAAACAAATAAGTGTTTTTTTTAACCATATTATTAAATTTCTCATAAAGAAGTGTCTGTATAATGTCATTATTTTAAATAATAACGAAGATATGATTTTTTTTAGATTTCGCTAAAATGTCAACTTTTGTCTATAAGTTGAAAACAAAAGACAATAGCGGGAAGCATTTTAACCAATATTATTTTCTCAAAAAATGAGCCATAGAATGTATCATTCGTTTTTGGCTAAACCTCTTAGTTTCGGAGATTCCCTATTCGGACATCTAAAATGCAGCACCCTATACATATTAAAAAATCTATAAGTTATTATTATGATAAACAGTTTGTGGTTGACTGATATAATAGATAAGATAATACGGCTACAAACAATAAAAACCATAAAATGCATTTTCCTATTAACATCTGTCAATCTGATTAAACTAAACCGACTGTAACATCTCCAAAATCTCTTAATTAATTAATTTAATTAAAACATCCATACCCAATTGAATACAAAATGAAAAAAAAACAGTAAAAAAGGTCTGTGAAACAATGCAGATACTTACTACAGTGGCGGACACGGAATTTTGGACATCAAATTTATGTCAGTTCAAAATCAAATTTTCTTTTATACAAAAAGACCAAGTATTAAGCTTAAAAATGTTGGCAAATTTATTATAAAATTCAAATTTTACAACCGTATTTGAAATAATACTTAATACAGTGCAGACACGGAATTTTGGACATAAATTTATTGTCATTATGATTGATGTTTGATCTAAAAAAAGTTTTAGTTGAAATTTAATTTTTGCCGTCGATTTTCCGAAACAATAATGCCAGCAATACGTGTTGTGTTCAATAATTTTTTTTTCGTTGTCATTGATCAAAAATTACAGAAATCGAATGTGAGGTTAGTTGCCTAAAGCCCGTTTTACACTTTTATGTCAGTCGAATGACAAATCGTCTAAAATTCCGTGTCCACCAGTGTAATAGCTTTCGGATTACGAAATAGGTGCAGAATATTATCATACATTTTTATTTAATATTGATAAGCATGATAGGCAAACCATAAAAGTCTTGAAGCTTATTGGTGTAACATTTTCTACGAAAATAATTTCTTAATTTTTTGTTAGAATTGCTTTTATTTTATTTGTACACGATTTTGATGTTAAAGTATAACTGCAACTATTGCCCGAAGAATTTTCTTCTTTCTCGTTGTCATCTTATTGGCAACGTATCTATAAATAAGTTTTAATTTTTTTTGTAATAAAATTTTGTTGGAGTAAATTCGGCGACATGAAAATGCCAAAGATAAACGTTTGTCATTATGACAATTAAACTTTTAAGTTTTGAAATTACTAAATTCTCAAGTAAAAAAATAAAATAGGTAGACCAACCACCTTAGATGTATTTAAGTTTATCTATGACATGTTGAAATTAGTAACCAGTTCACATAAAGTACGTAAAAACGTTACACTTGAAAATTTTTGAAAAGTTTTCATAACTACGACATTTTGCTGTCTTAGTTTTTCATGAATTCGATAGTACATCGTCAAGAATAATAACACTGACTATTTGTTACACTATACTTGTTACTGCAATAAAATTAAGCACAAGTGTTATCACTATTGTTCATAATAGACTAATGACAGTTTCAGTAAATGATAAAACTCTATAAAATCGTTCTGAAATACAGAAAAGATACATCCTCATCCTTGTCTGAAACTCTGGGGCAAGCAAATCCTGCTTTTCTTTTAACACTTCTTTCCTGCTCCCAACAGCTTCTATTCTAAGATTGGTATTCATCAATCGAGCAGTTTCTCTTAAAGTAAAGTCATCTTCTATTTTGGTTATAATTCGAATTTTTGAATTGGTGTCTAAATGAAACAAAAATTACATATTTTATCAAGTCCACTTTACACTATAAAATATTATGTGTGCTTAATTTTATTGCATAGAAGTGTATGTAATTAAAGAAATTATGTTTATAGAAACAATTAAAAACTTACTAAAAATGTTACACTGTGATTTACACTTTATTAAATTCTAAATGTCTCCAAACGAAAGCATTTAATTGTCACTAAAATAATTTAATTACTGATATCATACCGTAGGTACACTATAAATTGTTCCAATTATAAATCTAAATCTATATATTTATTTTTTTATTTAATTTAATGACATATTGGTATAAAATTATCGACAGTTTAGTAATTTAGGTTTACACTTGAATTAATCCAAAAAGTTGGTACAATATAAAAAATATCATTCTTTTAAAACATCACAGAAATAACGTTTGCGCTCTTACCATTTAGAACACTAACACCACATCTTCACTTCAAATTATTTTATTCACTTGAGTCAATATTTAATTAGAATCTTTAGTATTGTGAAGAAATATTTGACCCGATGGCACCATGTTGAGCGTTATGCCGCCCTCATGCCCTACTGTTTTTATTGATCCAAATATCTACGTGCTTGTCAGGCAAAGTGCGCGCCTATTGTACGAAATTATCGAACAAAATTATCATGAATGTAGAAATATATGAATTTGGTACAGTTTGTTATCTATACGAAACGGTGTCACTTCCTTTCGGGTGTAATTTATTCATGATAATTCTTTGCGCTTTTTGAGACAGAAACCTGTACAAAGTGGCGCCATTTTTTAAATATCTAACTACAAAATCAAAATTTTTAACTATAATAAGAATAAGTAAGTGTGAATTATTGTATTTATACAGTTTTAGTTTCTAATACGAGTATACTTAGTGTGATTTAAATATTAAATTCACATTTTCAGTGGGCCGCTGGGCTGATAATACAAAAATATACAAGTTTTTGATAATCTTAATTTTTTAAGATGATGCAGAATTTTTCGTGTATCTTATTATTTATGTTAAGATATTTTTGATCTAAAATTACGAGTAGTAATTTCAGTATACTTTGATCGAGTGAAATACAGGATGTTCCGGCTAAACCCCAGAAGTATTGGGACTATTCTTGGCGTTTTTTCAGTGAGAAATATTTCCATGGCAAACTATCCGAAAACTAACATGAATAGTAAGTAATGAATTTCTTCCATTGTAAAAAAAGTTAAAATAACTGAGAAATCATTAAAATTAAGTATAGGGAATATTAATACAGATTGATGCAGAATTATTTTTTTTTAATTTAGTGAAGAAAAAATTGGGGCCTTCCACTTGAAAAAAATTCACTTATAGGTATTTGAAGTTTCCCAAACGTAAGCTAAAATTTTGGAGGTTTGTTAATTGTTTTTCCAATTATAAATAAACGAAAGAAAATCTTTTTTTTTTCATATGCCCAAATACGATTTCAAAATAATTAAAAATGGTAGAGTTTTTCGATTTTTGGAGAGGAAGATGAAAATTAATTTAAAAAAGCCTAATTTGAAAAAACGGTTAAATTTATCCACAGGGAAGTCTAATAAAAACTCTCAAAATCGTTTGAGTAACTCAAAAACGCAATAAAAACATAGCTTTCTATTTAAAATAAGGAAGTTAATACCCATTTCCGGTGTAACCGGGAGTGCTCCCATCTTGAAAATATTTTCATTGGGCAGGATCTAAACGATTATGGCTATAATCAAAATTTTAGATAAGTATCACTATTACAACAGTTGTCAAAAAATGGCTATAACTCATTTTTTTTAATGGAATGACCCTATTTTCTCAACGGCAATCGAAAGAACATCGATTTTTGTGGAGACTTCTATAAACATGCATATGCATTTGTAAAATTTTGTCACAATAAGCACGTAGATATGCCGTTTATACAGGATGTTAAAAAAATATTGTTAAATATTTATGGAGGTAATGCTATGGACCAAAATAAACAAAAAAATCTTAATAAACATGCGTCCTCAAAGTAACGGTTTCGATGATATCGAATGTGAAAATTTTTTAAATTTGTACTAGAAGCTTTTCTTTTTTGTTTGAACAGACGGCAAATAAATATTTCAAAAAACGAATAATTTTCGATATCTCCTAAACCGTTACTCTGCGGACTCATGTTTGTTAAGACTATTACATACTTCCTGAATTATTTTACAATCTTTTTTTAACATCTTGTATGAAATTTGCATATAATTCGAACTCTAAATTAAGTATTTAAATAATTTTCTGAAATTAGAAAACAGCTTTCACTAAGCTTATAATACTTTAGTTTAAAGAATTGCCAGGTAAAATTTTTAATTTTAAAAGGTCGCCAATTGCTTTTGAGCTTTGAAATATTTGATTCGTATTAGTGTTATTTAAAATTGCTTTATTTGAAGAAGCATGAAGATTATCCAAACAAATAATTCATTACCATTACTTCTTAATGTTAAAATTATAAAATTAGGAAACATGAAAAAATACAATATTATTTTCCCTATAATTTAATAAAATTAATGCATTATCCACTCTGATAACATTTTCTTTTAGAGGGGCTGATCGCGCTCGTGCTGTAGGGGGCAAAGGTATACCTACCGATTTATGGCAGTTTTTGGAAAAACTATTAAATGCGACCTTGAGATAAAGGATCAAACTACACCTTTTTCAAGTGTAATTCTGAAAGCGTAAGATATGTTTCAGAAAATGTTAATTGTAATTCAGATTAGTCCAGTGTATTTCAGAAAGTGTTAATTGTAATTGAAAACAGTAAAATGAATTTCAGAAACTAGCAGATATAATTCAGATTAGTTAATTTAATTTCAGAAAGCGTAAATTGGAATTCAGATTAGTCATTTGTATTTCAGAAAGTGTTAATTATAATTCAGAGTTTGTCATTTGTAATTGAGAATTTGTCAATTGTAATCCAGATTTCCTTATTTTCATTTAAAAATTACACTATCAAAATCCCTTTAAAAATAGAATATCTTATTTATTTTGTAAAATACCAAGTTTATGTAAATCTTGTAGTTTTGAAAATAAAATAATTCATGTTTATGTGTAAACTTTATTTTCAGATAACAGTAAGTTACTCATCTGAATTGCTATTAATATTTTTCTGGATTACATGTAACATGAAATTGAATTTACTGTTCTGAATTACATGTATGTAATAGTGTCTAAATTACAATTAATACTTTCTGAAATACAATTGATTAATCTGAATTCCAATTTATGGTTTCTGGAATTAATTTAACTAATCTGAATTACATCTTATGCTTTCTGAAACTCATTTTACTTTTCTGAATTACAATTAACACTTTCTGAAAGACAATTGACTAATCTAAATTACAATTTACGCTTTCTGAAACTAAATTAACTAATCTGAATTACATGTGATGGTTTCTGAATTACACTTGAAAAAGGTGTAGAGTTCGGCAAAATACCTGATTTTCAATGTTATTGCTTTGCCGAGAAAATGAAAGAACTGTAAGCAGTTTTTCGTAAATTTCGTGTCTACAACAATATGCCAGTTTATACACAACCTCATTTAATAAGATATTTTATTTTCAAAGGAATTTTGGTAATGTAATTTTTAAATGAAAATAACGAATTCTCAATTACAAATGGCAAACTCTGAATTATAACTAACACTTTCTGAAATACAATTGACTAATCTGTATTTCAATTTACGCTTTCTGAAGTTAAATTAATTATTCTGAATTACATCTGATGATTTCTGAAATTCAGTTTACGGTTCTGAATTACAATTAATACTTTCTGAAATACAATTTACTAATCTAAATTACAATTAAAGTTTTCTAAAATACCGGCTGCGCCAGAACTCGCGTCCCAGAGAAAATTTTCAAGTAAGGTAAGATACCAGGAACATGAAAAAAATGTTTAAAAAATTCTATCTGTCAAAACATTTTGACATTTATTTTTTGACATTTGACATTTTTTTATATATATTTAAGGATACTGATGATCTTGTATATGTTTTTTTACAATTATTTAGTAAAGGGACAAAAATTGTGACAAAGTGCAAACTTTAAACCCTCATAACTTCGAAATTTTTATAGATAAATTTCTTTTAACCTTTTTTCCATGTTCCTGGTATCTTACCTTATATGGCATTTTTCTCTGGGGCGCGTATTCTGGCGCATCCTGTATTTCTTACGCTTTCTGAATTATACTTGAAAAAGGTGTAGTTAGTAGTTAGCTTGTAATTTTTGTGCCCATTTTATAATACTTGAAGTTGGAGAATAACTTCTATTGAAAATAGTGTACAAAAATGTGTCAAAAAATTCTACATCTACTTAAAAAAGGCTGTTTGGTTCGGAATAAAATTTATATTACAAATGAGTTTTGTTTACAGTCATTACAGTCGATATTGATTTACTATTTACAATTTCTAGTTGCAAAAACTAATAATAACTTATAGTCAATTTTACAAGTGGGTCTCCACGTAATGTTTGGTTACCATGGTAAGTGGTCCCTGCCAAGGACAACCTTGATCCCTCCGTGGACAAGTTCTAGGCCCAAACTTGCATTTCTTCTCGTGAATCTTCATTTCACTACCCCAACAGAAATGTTTGCACCCCTCAGTTTTAAATTTGCAATGCACCTCCAAGCCGTCGTAGATGGTTTCCAGAATGTGTGACGGTGGTAAGGAATACCCGCTTCGACAAAGCGGACAGCATACATTTTGAGCAGCTTTTTCTATTTGTCGCAAACAATCGTTGCAAATTGCATGGCCTTGGTTGCAAGGACGAATAGGAGGACGTAGGATGTCGTAGCAGACGGGACATTCCATTGCTGAGAAGATTTGGGTCTTTTTTACAGCTGACATCTTATTGTTTCTGTAGATAAATTGAAAATGTTTTAAAATTTGTTTAAAATAAAAAGAATTTGGAACTTACAAGAGGGAGTCACACAGCTAAATCTTTAAGACTGTTATTTCTTCCAGCTAGAAAAGAAATGATATTTGGGGTTGTTCTTTCTTTTACTTATAGTGGTTTGCAAAGCCAGATAGGAGGCGTGGTTTAAATCTTACCTACTTTCTAAGGCAAAACCCAGGGTAGTAGTTTGGTAGACCAAAAGTAAAAGATTTTGTGTCAATAATGATTATTATTATTGTCTCTATTACATACTATGTGAAATTTGTTGGTTATTACAATATAATTTTAATCCAAGAAACCATTTTCAAAATTATTTAAATAAAATATACAAACATTTTGTATTTATGATATCAATACACACTGGGTGTTAAAAAAGATTTAAAATATTTGAGAAGGTATTAGTATGGACCAAAATAAACAAAAAAGTCTTAATAAACATAGCTCCGCAAGTAACGGTTTCGGAGATATCAAATGTGAAATTTTTTAGAATATGCACTAGAAGCTTCTCTTTTTTGTTTAAACAGATTGCAAATAAATGTTTTAAAAAACGGATAATTTTTGATATCTCCGAAACCTTTGCGGACCCAGGTTTATTAATTATTTTATTGGTTATTTTGGTCCATACTATTACCTTCTTCAATATTTTACAATCTTTTTTTAACACCCTGTATAACTAATACTATACAGGGTATTTCACGAGTGATAATGAGCCTAACCACATTTGAATTGCAGCCAGCAATACATTTGCATAGGCTTCATGGATTTTGATTATGAATTTTAAAAGTAATAAAACATAGTTATCGCGTAACTGACACAAAGAAATTGACAAGAAAGGAAACACAGTTTTTAAGGTTATTGTCTATCTACCATTGGAAAACACTTTCAAGCCTTTTTGGAGCTTTTCTATACAGGAAACATTGTCTTTACAAAGGTTCAACGGCAGAAGCATTTTTTCCAAATTCGCCATAAATGAGAATCAGATCTGTTTTCTCATCGTTCGAATGCATTTTGAAATTTTGCTAATGTCAGTTGTGACATGGTTGTGACAAATAAAAGTATCGAAGCAAAGCTATCGTGGATTCATAATTCGGTTTTTCAAACAATGTGATATCTAAAATATCCACGTTAACTTTGCAAATGTATTGTGGGTTGTATTTTCAATTCCGTCAGGCTCATTATCACTCGTGAAACACCCTGTATAATCACTTTTATTAAAAGACTAACTATTTTATTGCGGAAACAGTGCCCACCACTTATTCGTACATTAAATGGAATGGAACTTTTCGAAACCACACAATAATCAGAGACTGATTTTGAATTTTTTAAATTTTTATCAAATTTACTGTTTTGGTTTGGAGATCAATGTCTTAAAATAAATGTTACTCTTTTTCACAAATTACTTGTCCTCACGATACGATCCAAAATGGTTATTTGGTGTCAAATTTTTTTTTTTGGTAGGTTGGGAGCCATCAAAAAAGTGATGAATGAATTACTTTGTATGAAAATTTTTTTCTCAAAAATTGAATTTGATTTAGACCACAGCGTATTGATATACAAAACTCGCGCCGCAGAGAAACACAAGATAAAATACCAAGAACATGGAAAAAATGTTCTATTAATAATTCTATCTGTCGAAAATTTTTTGACCTGTTTTATGTCAATTTAATAGGGTTACCGATAATCTTGAATGTGTTTCATTATTATTTAGCAAAGGTACTAAAACTTCGACTATAAAAACCACAAATAACATTAGTTACAATTTAGGATACAGCATCTTTTCTAGTAGTCTTGACCAAAAAAACATGTTTTTTTATGTCCAAGTGCAAAATTTAAATCCCCATAATTTTGAAATTTTTTAGATAGAATCTTTTTACATTTTTTCCATGTTCCTAGAATCTTATTTTACTTGAGATTTTTCTCTGGGGCGTGAGTTCTGAAACATCCTGTATGTATAAAGTAATATTGTTCTAAAAAATCAAACTCATGCTCCATTCTTATACCTAGAAAAAAAATCACGTGGAGAGAAAGCCTCAAGAACTTAATCCTTCTTTTCTCTGAAGAATTTGGTAAGACTTCTTAAAGAAAGTAGAAAGTTATTGGATGACCTTTCAACTCCCGTTGCTTCCTTTAAAACATGCCGATCCAGGATTTTTACTTTCTTAGAACATTATAGCTATACCTACCTACCTTTTTAAAACGTTTATTTTAAATAAAGGATTCTCAAAGTTATATTTTCCGGGCAAGTCATTTATAATAAACTCTAACTGATTTTTAGACACAACCCAAAAAACATTCTGACAGACAACTTGGCTTTTGTTATGTTTGAAAAATTTAGACTATTAAATTTAAATCAATAAAGTAGTTTTTGATACCTACCCGCTAAAACGCCTTTTTTTTTAATTCAAAATAGGGTTCAGCCCTGCTTGGTTAAAGACTACTACGTAATTTCAGTTTTGAAAAATCAAGTATGCCTTGGATTTCCAAGGTATGATAATTTTATCAAAAACTTATTTTACTGTCGGTCATCTATAATTTTTTTTTTGTTTATCTCGCAAATCAAAGAATTTTATTTTATGTTACAAATTAGTCCTTAAACAAGCAGGGCTGCACCCCAAAAAATAAAAATTTAAATTGAAACTTTTTTATCTTGTACAAAAGTTGTTTCACTTATCCGGGGACACGCTGTATATGACTCACTATATTGCTAGAAAAAGAACACCCTAACAAAACGTCAAAATCTCAAGAACAAATACATATCTGATATTTTACAAACTATAACTTTTTTTGTATATACCGGGTGGGGCATCGGTTACGCGCACTTGATAAATCGCGACTTCAAATTAATTAAAACTGGCGATATTTCATATACCTAACTAATTATTGATAGGATATAATTTGAGAATTTTTAAAATTTTTGTGGATAATAAATGAGTCCGTAATAGTTTTGTGTGTTTTATGAATACTTTCCGTTAATTTACCTATAAAGTTTTTACACTAAATGAATCTGTACCTGTCAGCGAATGAAACTTTGATATCACTATTTCAAATTTTGACTTGGTTATCCAAATAAACGCTTTTTTTATTTAAACACAAACCAGACCCGTGATTTATGACAAAATGGTATAATTTGCCAATAAAAGAATCATTTACTGGTAGCCGACCTCTTTAAAAGGTCTTTTTGTTGTAAACCTTTGAATCTTACCCCAATTGCAGTTCCCCATTGTCACCTAAATTTACGATGGCACAAGTAGTAGGTCATAAATAAAAATGATTTTCAAAGTTAAGATGGAAAATTGCGTTTTATTCAAAATCTAATTGGTATTTTATTTTCTGATTTTATAAACAATTGTAGGAAGTGAATCTGCGTAGGTCAGTATAAAAACTAGAATTAAATTTTTTATTTTTTATTTTTTTTTGACTTTGTGAATGAAAAATTACCAAAAAATTAGAGAATGTACCTTACTAATGCCCAAGTAAGTGTGAAAAAATTCAACAATTTTATTTAATTAGAAGTGGGGATTTTCTTTTTATGCGTAACGGATGCCCCACCCGGTATATTGAAATTGTGAAATGAGTACACTTTTTTTGTATACGCTCCCGAAAATAGCTGCTTAAGGGACTTGAGTCTTTTCCGGACTTAATAAAATAGTACGTAAAATTGTTATGTTAGGTATGTACCTACTAACTCAGTCCCCAAAAACATCTTTTTCGGACGAAAAAGTCAATTTGGTTACTATGGGAGCGAATTTTTTTAATTAATATGATTAAATTAATTAAATTTTTAATTAATTAATTAATTAAATTAATTTGTTTTTTGCAGCTATTTTAGGCTCGGCTTCGCCTCATCCGGATACAGCAACGATTCATCCGCAAAAAATGTATTTTAAGTACTTGTAACAAAAATAACTGTTACAGAACAAAAGTATTTAGTTAAAATGCAGTTTAGTTTTTTCTCTAGAATTTTTCTCTATTTAATTTCATTAATTAATAATTAAAAATGTGTAATTTAAGTTACTTGCGAAAATGTAATGTTGGTTGCATCGAGAATTTGGTCAGGCTCATTATTCCTCGTGAATCACCCTATACAGGGTGTTTCACATAATTTTACGAGGCCTGCGGCTGCGCCTGTAAGATGCAATCAATAATACATATTCCCATACGAACTCAATTACAAATTTTGAAAAATTGAATAATCTTCTCTAGTTTGTTCACCCTTTAAAAAATTACAATGTTTTTAGTTAGTTAGTGATTAAGATAGGTAAACTAGAATCATATTCATGCCGTCTCTTGATAGAACAAATGAAAATTGTTTTTGAAAAACTGCAGTTTATGACTAATAATGAAACAGTGATTAGTTTGACAACTACTGTCATGGGTTTCCAAAAATTAAATAGTATTTTTTATATCTAGGCGCAACCCTAGTAAAGTTATGTGAAAGATCCTGTATTTATTATATTTCTTTGAAATTCTTCTTGGTTATGCAACCCAATAAACACCGAAAATTTAAATGTACTCTTTAGGGTTTTCTAAGGATTATTTGTGACAACTAAATCTAAAGTCAGTGTCTAAAGATTACAAAAAATTTTATGAGCTGGCAACATTGAATTCGACCGCTGACGCCTGAAGCTAAATTGAGGTTAGGTTTTTGATGCAAGTGTGTTGTTTTAACTAAAAATACTACGTGTTTAATCACAAATGATGCTTGATGGACATGAATTGTATAAGCAAAAAGCTGAGGTGCACAATTCTTGTTGTGTGCTGCAGTGTCGAAGCAAAATAAGACCATTATTTGGATTTCCAAATCCCAATAAATATTGGGACAGGTTTTGGGAATGGGTACGAGTGGTGGCTAATCCAAAACATGAAAGCATGTCCGCGGATTGTATTTGGAGAACCCAAGATGTTTGCTACAAACACTTCGTTTCCGAAGATTTTGTTGGAAGAAAGAATAAGCTACGAAAAACTGCTGTACCTTCGGTCAATTTGCCACCCCCTAACCAAAAAAGTAAGTGGATTTTTAGACTAATACATTTGGATACTACTTTTGATATTGTTTCAGGTTTTTCTGCGATAATTGGTAAGTTTTTTACTTGTATATTTGAGGTACATAATTGTTTTTATTGATTTTAATTTTAGACCATCCTGCGAATCAGACAGATTTGCCAATCACAAGTATGCATTGAATTAAATTTTTGATCAACATGGCTTGAGATTTTGAAATTAAGTTGGCAACATTGAATAATGTAGAGTGATTTAAATAAATCATTAGATATTGTGACTTTTGACGTCATGTGAGCCATGAAATTTGGAGTATCAAATGGGTTACATTAAAAATTATCCAATTCAAACGTAGTCAGTTGCTGACAATTTTTTTGACTGTAATGCGCTATGAAAATTAATGTCATTCTTTTATCTTTGCATTCGTTATTCAATGTTGCCAACCCAGTTTCAAATAATAAACCACTTTATAATAATCAGGAATTTAATTAAGAGAAACATACGAAATTGATATAATTACAGATGAATTAGACCACCATGCGTTCGATTTTGAAGAATTACTAGAAAATGTCAGACCAATAAAATTTCTTTTGAACGAGAGTATTGATGACCACAACGAAAATCTTCACAAATGTTACAAGATTTTTAGAAGAAACGCAACAGAAGAGAATGTCAGTGAAAATACTGCAGTATCAATTTTTAGAAGGGCCGCAATAAAAGAGATTACCTCTGAAAATACTGCAGCTTTTGATAGCAACGATTTTTCAGAACCATTGAATTCTATAAAGACCAAAATAGACGAGAATGCTAGTGCTATCGCTAGTACTGGTAAAAATACATCTAATTCACTACTATTGTTATGGCCGTCAAGCTATGACAATTCTCCAGGTGATGATAGTTCTATAATAAAAGTTCCAGATGAAAATGAGAAGCCACATTTTGCAGCATTGAAAACTTTTTCGTTAGGTAGAGTTCTTGCAATAAAATTGCTTTTTTACTCCACCTGCCCCTGTTTCAGCTACTTGTACTAACCATGAAATATGCCGTCTTTGTTTTCGTTCACTTCGTCAGGAAGATGTTATCAAATTGCATGATAAATTAAAAAAAAAGATAAAAGTTATTTTACCAGAAGTAGATTTAGATCTGTACACAAATTCTGTAATTTGCGTACAGTGCAAAAAAAAATTATATCTCAGCTATCAATTCAAACAAACTTCAATGACAACAGAAGAAAATATTAAAAGCATAATTGAAAAAAATAAAGAAACGAAAAGACCAAATCTCGATTTATTCGTGGTGACGAGATCGCTAGTTGGTGAAACTGTCGTAGAATATTTTTCAGAAAAAAGTAGTATTGGTTTTGATCATGACTATGATTTAATTCCTGCAATTACATATGAATTGGAAGATGTAAAAAGCAAACTTTGGGAGTCAAATGAAGATAATCAAAAGTTGCAAAATAAAAATGTAACACTCTTACATAACGGCTTAAATGTGACAACAGATAAACCCAAACAAAAATATAATAGGATTACGAGGAATACGCTTAAGGGATCTGAGTCTTTTGTTTGTGAAAAGTGCGGTTTCTTCACTAAAAGCAGTGATTCGTTCGGTCGACATTTACGACAACACAGACAGAACAAATGGCCGGAAGGATTTCCAACGAAGGGAGGGCGACCAAAAAAACCGAAAATTTGGAAATGCAACCGTTGTACCAAAGTATTCGTACAACATGATCGTCTGATATTGCATTCGCGAGAACATCAAACTCCCCACATATGCAGGATATGCAATAAACAATTTAACTTACAATTTTACTTACGAACTCATATTAAATATGTACATCTAAAAGAATATAATTATCGTCAGTGTCATTTATGTGGAAAAAAATTTTCTCCACGTGGATTGCACGCTCATCTGCAGATGCACAATCCCACCAAATTCTACAAGTGTGATTTTTGTCCCAAAAAATTTATTAGGCTTATAGGACTGAAGAAACATGTTCGTTGCAGACATACCGAATTTGTTCCGTTAAGTTGCCAGTTTTGTGGAAAAACAGTGAAGTATAAAGAATCACTAAACAAACATATTCAATTGTTTCATATGAATCAAGGTGAAAATATATGCGATGTGTGTAATAAACCGTATTGGAAAAAAGCCGATTTGTTGAAGCACAAAATTCGAATGCATGGGGGGTACACCACAAATAAGGAAAATCGTGAAGGATAACTGTTTTCATATGTTATATCGTTTATTTTTTTAATACATTTTTAAAAAATATTTAAGTTTTATTACACGTTAGTATTGTTTCTACCTACTTTACACAGGGTGAGTAAACAATATGGAACCAAGGGTTTTTTGTTTAAACTTAGAAAAAAAGTGGTGAATGAAAGTGCTCTTTTTGAATTTCTGTATTACGAAAATTTTTTCACAAAAATTGAATTTGATTTAGACCACGGTATTTTGATATACATGGTGTTTCAGAAGAAGAGAAAAATACCAAGTAAGATAAGATACCAGGTACATGGAAAAATTCTGTCAACTAAATTTGACACTTATTTTTTGACATTTGTCGATGATCTTGTTTATGTTTTTTATAATTATTTAGTAATGGTAGGTACAATAATTTTGCTAATAAAAGCCACAAATAGGATACAGCTTCTTTGTTTCCTCTTGTAATAGCCGGCAACAAAAATCATGTAAAATCACTTTTCCAACAAAAATAAATGCGATAAAAGTGTAAAATTTAAACCCTCATAATTTTTTGAGTAAAATCAGTTTACAATTTGTCTTACAGACCATAAAGAGGATAAAAATTAAAAATTAAATTTGTATCACCGTTTAAGAGACCCGTGATTAAAAAGTTTGACAACTGATCTTTAAATTCTTTCAGGTGTAGCTCGCTTACGTTAAATTTTTTGATACATGTTCATAGGAAACTTTTGTCTTAAAATTGAATATTCTATCACCTGTTTAAGTTTGTAATAATAAAAACAGAACATCCTGTATATCATGTGTATAGAAATTTAAAATTAATACTTACCTTAATTTCATCAAAACATAAAACTGTATTTCTAGAAGTTTTTGACTTGCTTTTTCCTACAGCTTCCATCACAGATAAAACACTTTCTAAAATACCGTTTCTTAGATTTAAATTTGTTGCCCAGTGTTGCAATGTTGATAAACTAGGAAGAGGGTAGGTTTGTCGTAAGTAAATATATGACCTTTTGCTAAGATATCTTAGTGTGAAAGCTTTGCTTAATTCTTCCTGGTCCCATCTAGTTTTCTTTTTTTTTTTCTTCAGAACGATGTCTATTCGATTTTTTGAAAAAACTCTTTTAAAATGCCTCTTTCGTTGTCTCTTCAAATGATTTATTCGCATCTTTTACAACTTCTTCTAATTGCAAAACTTTATCTCGCAAAGACTGTTCTTTGTTCTCTTGCTCACATATTCTGGATTTTAGCTTATCCACTTCATTTTGTAAAGTTGCTATATTTTGTTGTAGATCATCTTCAATTGTCAGAGTAGATTCCTTAGTTGTAATTACACTGGAACTAGCTGATGCAATATTACTAGTAGCAGCTCCTAAGGCACTGGTACTCGCTTCCACACTAGTAGAGTCCATTATTTCTTTTACAAAGCTCTTTAATTCTCTATTTTGAGCTCTTTTTCTGCGTTTATCACTATTTTTTGTAACTTTTGTGGGTGATGTTGGTGGATGTAGATGCATCGATGGAATTGCTATAAACAATAGATTGTGTAAAATTACCATTAATTATTACTTAATGTTTTATCTGGAAATATCGAGTCCTTATTTAAATTAAAAAGAATCTACCTGTGCTTTTCAAGGTTTTCGGAGATCTACCTAGCACATGAGCCTGCATGTAGTCTTGGAAATCGTTTAGTGTAAAATGTTTGCTGCAGATTCTTTTGTTCTCTGGAGAAAACTTATCCTTTCTATAACAACGTCTCACCCATTCTTCTCTTAAACCAGGATCTTTGGGAAAACGGTGAAAACTTAAGCTCTCCCCCATCTTCTTGGCATGTTTGGCGTTGCTTTTGCATACCGCAACACTACAGGTATACCCGCCACCCGTCATCTACAACAATTATGCTAAAGTTAAAAATATTTAAATATTAGGTACCATATTTGGTTTGGTTTGGAGTTGATAAATACACACTAATCCGCATTAAAACAGGGGAGCCTAGTCAATATTTCCCAAAAAGTTGGACCACCGAAATCGTGGAAGCCAAAAATTCCCCTTTTGCTCTAGGTACGTTGTGTTGTGTCTCAAATAACAAAAGGCAAATAATTAGAAAAGAAAATTCCAAGAGACCCGAGGTATAACGCGGCCGTTGTAAGAAAGAAAACATGAGTTTTAAACCACACTTAAATTTATTCAACATAAAAATCAAATAGTTAGAACTTGGCTCTGATTGTTTGTCAATTTACTTCATCAAATAAAATAAAATCAAAGGAACAATGAATAAATATATTATCCAAAATTTCTAAAGTTCTGGGTTTTCGATAACTTTGAAATAAATTAAGAGGAAGAGAATGCTAGTCTCTCAAATTGGTTTGATTTGAGAATTGGCAATAGGTTTCGATTGAACTGACGGGAATTGGTTGTTGTACAGTTGCTGAATTAAAATTTCGGGCAGTACTGTCATTTTCATAATGTAAACTTTAAAACAACCTTTATATTAATAACCTCATTTTTTACTCTTGTCATATTTATGTCATTTTGACTTTTTTTTTTCTTTTAAATTGTCAAGTTACGCATAATATTTGGCTAAATTAGTATTCAATTGCTTTTGTAGTTTTTTTCACTTCTGGGGAAGTACACTGCTCTATTTCGACCATTTTAAATCAGATTCACATGACATTAAACGCCATTTGGATGGCCTACCACGTTTGGACCTTAACTTTGTTAGAATTTTATTTTACACAAATTTTGACTGAAAATAATGTGATTGTGAATAAAATAGCATACAAACCTCAGTGGTAATGGCATTACCCCTTGTGTTTTACCCGATCTTGAGGCTAGCGCCTCTCGATCATAAGCACTCGGGGTAATGCCATATTTACCACCTCGCTTGTAATGTATTATAAATGATAGAAAGCTAACTTCAGCCCATAACGTAAGTGCCATAACATTAGCTATTAGCAGCGTAACTAATACGCATATTAGTATCGACTAGACTTTGACTAGAGTTCCTATATTTAAACATATAGATTTTTGTCATTATTGATGTAATTAAATTTGTTCTGAATGGCATTAATGACACTTTTTGTGTGAATCGGCCTTTAAATTAAAGATGCATTTAGACTTATACAACCTACTTGATGCACATTATTTAAAAAAAAAGTACAGAAGCATATATCCACCATTAGTAGTAACTAAAAAATACTCTTAAATAATTAAAAAAACAATAATGACAGAGTGTATGATTGGTTGCATAACCATTGCATTCAGCAATCGAGTGAAATTTATATGGTAAGTTAAAGTTAGTGTGAATATTTTAATTATAAAATTAAAAAAGTTTTTTTTGAAGAAGAATGCTCTGAGCAGAGAAGAGGGCATTTTGAGCATATGTTGTGACTTTAGTTGTGTTTTTTGTTGACTCTAACCTCAAAATCAACAACAGGTGTCAAACTTGTCTGTACAGTTTTGGCCACATAAATCTTATACAGTTGGTTGCAATAAAAACGGAAAATTGATTTTTCTTTAGAATGCAACAGGTCTTGTCCTTGTCAATTTAGTTGTCAATTTGTCATCTGTCGCATTCAAATATTTTTTTCTCCAATGCCGCAATTAAATGCCGAAAGCACCAAATGCAAATCAAGTTAAGCAATAAGTTGAGTCCTTACGTGAAAACCCAATGAGTAGTGAGTACTATAATAATAGATTAACTGTCATCACTCAGTAGTGTCAGTTCTAACTTAACCTTTTAGAAAGTCCAAACTATGGATAAATATAAAAATCTGATATTTTTATGCTTTGACATTTTCCGATTTTTTACAACCAAGTGTACTAAAGTCTGTTTTTTTTAAATGGAAATGCCAAACAGTCTTAACGTTGGCACCACTAGCAAATTCATTCATGGTAATTTTAATAAAGGAAGTTGGCAGTTTCAGTTTTTTGAATTAATTTGAAAACAATGTCATTAAACGTCAACACAAAAAATCGGCTAAGAAAATTTAGAGACGAAACATCAAAAAAGAAACAAATTCGGTACACTGACAGTGTACGAATAGTTCGCAAGCAGGAAGTTAGAAAAAGGGCCCATTAAAATGTAGACGCAATTTGTAATGCAGGTTTGCTAAACATTCTCAATTTTTAGCAAGAAATTGACAAAAATACAAAATAAACATGAATGAGAAAGAAGCTCGGAAAGAGTGCAATTAAATTAGTGTCTTGTACATCGTTTTTGAGGAACGAGTTGAAAAAGTAACAATTTTGAAGCTAAACCTGAAGAAGAATTTATAAAATTGTGAGCTCATTTCAATAAATTATACAAAAGTTATTGCCAATCATAATACCTACTTGTATCTTTTGCTAAATAACTTTTTTCCGTATAAACATCCTTTTTCCTCAAAGCAAGAACCTCATTTTTGTCCACAACATTGTACAGAGTGGTTATAAATGATTTTCATCTAGCCGGCTTTGGAATTTTTTTGCATGTAACTTTATTTGTGCCGCTCTACTTTTTTGAAAGCTCTAGTTCTGTCATTAGTGTCACTTATTAATTAATAATAAATGGTTGTTAATTAAACTTTTATTGTTTCAACTAATTTCCAATAATAATTGATAATGATGTATACTTTGGAAGAAAACAAGTTTATAATTGAAGTCTATTTTCGAAGTGGACGCTTAGTAAATGGCGATTTTTTAATTTTGAGTTAAAACAAGTAGGTACCCCTATTTTCATAAAGCGGCATTTTTTTTATTTTACATGGAAAATTCACAGCTGGCTAAATGAAAATCATTTATAACCACTCTGTACTTACATTCGGTGTGTTTCTATTAAAATTATTAGCATTGAATTCTGTCTTTAGACCTTAGGTAATGATGTCTGTCCTCAGCACTTTCAAAGAGCAAACAGGCACACGATTCATAAAAGTCAAAATTTTGACAACATCTGAATCATATCTGAATTTGAAAATATAACCATAATTTTTTAACAAAATTTCTAGGGACAAAAACAAAGAGCAAATAAAATTTGTGGCTATGGAGACAAGCTGCTACCAATTTTTTCACCAAAATTTTGACTTGGTAATTTCCATTTAAAGAAAAAACAGACTTTACAACCTCATTTTGACATCACGTCAAATTTTTCTAATAATGTTTGTTATAAAACAAACTGATATAAAAAACATGAATTTGAGTAAATCAAACGATCAAATTTTATTGAGATTTCGAAAGGATGGTCTCTACAATATTGTTATAAACTATTGTCTTCTTCTCTACAAGAAATAAATCTCGTACAAAATATCATTTTGTACGAGATTTATGTGGCCAAAACTGTACAGGGTCAGTCACAGGAGAGTTACTTTGAAAATTAATTAGTTTGCAACCAAAAATACGTTTGGCGTATGTAACTGGATATAATATTTTAAAAAATTAAATTAAAATAAAAAAAAAATTTAAAAAATTAAAATTAAATTAAAATTAAAAAATTAAATTAATTCAATAATCAATGTGAGCTGGATGAAAATGAGTGAAGTCGTCAAAATGACAAGTAATTGTCTACTGCTTCAAGACTCAAATTCATTTTCTGGGCCAGTAGCAGTCCCATACTCTCCAAGTACAGTTGGAGACAAAATACTTTGGTCGTCACTTTTCTGACACTTTAATGTAATTCAAGCTTTAATGAATGACAATTTTAAATTAATGACAGCTATTATATCTTTCTATCAAAAATATGTACAACTTGTCAACTATGATTGACAGTAGCTAAAAATAAGGCTAACAGTCCTAAAGCATGCTTTACAATTTAATGTCACTCAAGTGACATTGACGATCAAAGTATTTTGTCTCCAACTGTACAGAGCTGCTGCCGCGGAAACATTTTTCTTGCGTACTCTATGGATTAAAAGCATGTCCACTTTCTCGTTATTTGTGTAATAATACATTGCATTAACAAAAATTGACTGTTACTTTTGAAATGTCAAAACAAAAAGATATGCAAAGTATTCTTGGATTCAATTTTCTAATTTTTGAGAAAGCTAGACGCCTATGTGAATTGTATAATGGGTTGCTGCCTACATTATTTCAGAAGCAACTTTCCTGTGATTGACCCTGTACAATTGCGAGCATTAAATTTTGTTTATGGTAGGTATTGCCATTTTGAAACTTAATTTTTTGTCAAAAAACAAGTTTCCCTGTGTAATTTTGTCTGTTGTCAACCTTCTTTCAACAATGAATATAAATGTGAAAACACCATGCTAAAAATTAATTAAAAAATATTTTATTGTGTCGCCGATCTCTTACTTCAACAAAGTGAAAACAATTACTTCTACCATACTGGAGAGTAAAGTGGCTTTCTTGATAACAAAAAGTTATCAAGAAAAGTTGTTTAGAATTAACATCTAAGCCCCTATACCAAATTTCAAAATCATCGACCAACTATAATTTTTAATTTTTTTCCAAGATAGTTGGTTTATAGTAACAAATACAAAAAAGTTATTTAGTAGTAATTATTTAAGTGCGAAATTTTTTTATTGGTAATAAAAGAAGTGTTAAAAATAAAATACTTTGATTTGTGAAATAAACATCATAGTTGGCCGATGATTTGGAAATTTGATAGGGGGCTTAGATGTTGATTCTGAACAACTGTTCTTAATAATGTTTTGTCGTATTTGCCACATAAAGTCGCGGTCAATTCATAGTGGACACTTCCCTGTGTAAATTTGAGAAAATTGAGTTGTCTAAATCAACATTTAATCGTTTTTTTGTGGACATATTCTATCAAAAAATGACAATTCTGGAAAAGTCGGGTTTCATAATCTTTTCACATAAAAATCTACTGCTGTCACAATTTTTGACACAATTTAGTTACTTCTGCTGTCAACATAGACATATAATACAGGGTGTTTCACATAACTTTACGAGGCTTGCGCCTAATGTACGCACCCAAATATACGAGAATCACAGAACACTGGATACAAAAAACACACATTTAATTATTTAATATTTGGAAACCCATGACAGTAGTTGTCAAAGTAATCACTGTTTCATTAATAGTCATAAACTGCAGTTTTTCACAAACAATTATCATTTGTTCTATCAAGAGACCGCATGAATATGCGATTGTAGTTTATCTATCTTAATCACTAACGAACTAAAAACGTTGTAATTTTTTAAACGGTGAACAAACTAGAGAAGATTATCCAATTTTTCAAAATTGTAATCGAGTTCGTATCGGAATTTGTATTATTGATTGCATGTTACAGGTGCAGGCCTCGTAAAATTATGTGAAACACCCTGTATAATATCTATAACATAATTAAACATAATAATATAACATAATTTTTGAAGTGACATTGACGACCACTTTTTTTGTATTTGATGTAGATGTGAAACCGTTGAAGGGTATTTTTTAAGTCGCCGAAAAAGATGTCTGGTGGTACAACACATTCTTGCTACGTTTTTGGATGCACTGAAAGAAAACTCAAAATGTACCAATTTCCGAATCCTAGAAAGGAAAAAGACAGGTTTTACGCATGGGTGGAAGCAACCGCAAATCCAAAGTTAAATAATTTGCCTATTGAAGTAATTTTTCGGCGAGGATTTGTGTGCAAACGGCATTTTGAAGTAAGCGACTTTATACCACAAACAAATGAGAAGCTGTATAAAAGTAGCATCCCTTCGAAAAATTTACCTAAAGGTAAGTAATTGTTTATTTTTTTGTCCCAGTCCTGTACAGGGTGCTGAATTTTGGATGTCCGAATAGGGAATCCCCGAAACTAAGAGGTTTAGCCAAAAACGAGTAATACATTCTGAGGCTCATTTTTTGAGAAAATAATATTGGTTAAAACCGCATCCCGCTATCGTCTTTTGTTTTCGTCTTATAGACAAAAATTGACATTTTAGCGAAATCTAAAAAAATTTATATCTTCGTTATTATAGAAGACACAGATTTGAAATAAAGACATTATACAGGCACTTTTTTACGTAGAATTTAATAATGTAGTTAACAATTTTTTTCAATAAAAATAAAAGTCAACAAAAATCAAATTACTTGATTTAATCAAAACCCACCCAAAAAAGATAAAGGAATCATAAATAATAACCTAAAAATAAACTTTATCATAAAGTTCTAAAACTTTGAAAATAATCATTACCGTGACTACGAATTAAAGAAACCAAAATAGATAAACCCAAGACCCCCTCACATACTGTAAAAGTTAAAAAAACTATAGAAAAAAAATATTCATTTCCTAAAAGTCTTAAATAAATAAATAAAGTTAAATAAACAGATAAAACAATATACTCTAATCTTAATAGTATTAATTGTTTAGCCGTAATAAAATAAATTTGTATTTTTTTAAAGGGGAATCATAGATGGCTATGTCATTTTTAAAAAGCTTGTTTTTTTCTTTTTTTTCTTATCTAAAAAATATATATTTGTAGCAAATTATTATAATACATTTTTAGCAAAAAATTATCTTTGATTTTTGTTCGCAGTTAGCCATGAAAAAATGTTTCATCTTCAACCAAAAGGATTTAAACTATATTATATTCAACCAGTGTCACTAATGAAAGAGTTTTCTAAGTACTAAGTAATGGAAAAGATGCAAAATAAATTGTAAATCAACTTATTGGCGACTAATAACATTTCTTTGTTTTTAAACAAGCTAACATTACCATTGCAACTTCTAGTGATACATAGAGTGTTGTAAAAAAAGCTGCTTTAAGTCTTCAATAAAATATATTTTATATGACACAAAAATGACGATATGGCTATTCAAATACCCAAATTCCGTCTATGTGAAACGTTATCCTACCTCCGTTAGATCATCAAAAAAATGTTTTTTTCTGCCTGTGTTGACTGTTGACACATTTGTTTTTCCTATTTTTGATTTTTTAAAAATATGTAATAATTTTGTTCTGAGGCGCTCGGATATTTGTTCAATGCTTCTACCGTATCGTATTTTTTAAATCTTTAGAATTTTATCTATTTTTTCATCTATTTTACAGTTCGCAAAACTCTTATTGATTATTATTTACACATTTGGAGTGAAATAGTTTTTCCATGGCCAACTATTATCACACAAAATATGTATTTCACTTTTTAAGTATAGTTATAAAAAAATATTTTGTTACAAATATATATTTTTTAGATCAGAAAAAAATAAACTTTTCAAAATTGCATAGCCGCCTATGATTTCCATTAAAAAAATACAAGTTTATCTTATTACGGCTAAACTAATAACTGAAAAAAATTGTTAACTACATTATTAAATTCCTCGTAAAAAAGTGCCTGTATAATATCTTTATTTCAAATCCGTTTCTTCTATAATAACGAAGATATAATTTTTTTTAGATTTCCCCAAAATGTCAACTTTTGTCTGTAAGTCGAAAACAAAAGACGATAGCGGGATGCGGTTTTAACCAATATTATTTTCTCAAAAAATGAGCCTCAGAATATATCACTCGTTTTTGGCTAAACATCATAGTTTCGGAGATTCCCTATTCGGACATCCAAAATGCAGCACCTTGTACACTTGTACACATACATACTTTTCTGTTACACCTCTAGAAATACAAACCTAAAACGGCGATTTGCGTACTTGCTTTGCTAATAATATCCTTTGACTTGAGTCGATTTATTGTTCTAAAACAAGCTAAATCGCTTGAAATTGACTGTACTAAAAGGTTGGAAGCTGATTTAAAAAAAAAATTGCAAATGAAAAATTTTCTTTTGCTTGTATAACAAAGTAGCGAGACTTTTAATTCCGCCAATCCCACAATGTCAGTTCCAGGTGGTAACTAAAGTTGTATTTTTTAAATAGAACAACCTATTGACAATGGGATTCTTCCAGTTTTATGTTTTACGGTGTGAAAATTTCTGTGGTATATTCTCAGATCATGTTGTGATGGCTAGGATGGCTAATGCCAGCTCATGCATTGTGTTTTACTATGATCATCAAGAAATAATCAAATTTTACTTTGGATTAAATGAAATTCAAATTTGTACAAATGACAGCAATGTCATTTGTAGTGGATTGTTTCCAAGATAATGGTACCCTCAAAATTCATACTTCTTGATTTTGCAGCGCGGTGTAGAGTTTAATTTAAACTCAAATAATAAAATAAAAGGTAAAATACCAGGAACATGAAAAAAATGTTTAAAAAATGCTATCTGTCAAAAAATTTTGATATTTATTTTTTGACATTTGACATTTTTTTATATCTATTTAATGATACTGATGTTCTTGTATATGTTTTCTTACAATTATTTAGTAAAGGTACAAAAATTTTGCCAATAAAAGCCACAAATAACATTGAACAGAGTTACAATAACTCAATTTAGAATACAGCTTCCTTGTTTCCTCTTTTAATAGCCTATAGCAAAAAAACTTCGAAAATTATTTTTCTAACAGAAATAAATAGAGTCAAAGTGCAAACTTTAAACCCTCATAACTTCGAAATTTTTATAGATATTTTTTTTTTAACATTTTTTCCATGTTCCTGGTACTTACCTTATATTTTTCTCTGGGGCGCGAGGTCTGGAGCACCTGTATATATAGGAGTACCTTTTTTATGAAAAAATGATTGGGCTTGTTAACGTGGTAGCGTTAACAAATTAAAAAAATATATTTCTACGTAAAAATTGTTATTACTAATTTTATTATTATAACTTCACTTTTACAATTATGTATTTCAATAAATTTACAATTAATTCACTTTTACAATCATGACTGGCTCGAGAGACTAAGACTTAACAAAACAAAACCAGACTTAAAACATAAAACTTGAAAGCCAGACTTAAACTGAAATGCGTATTTTCTATCCTGAATTTATAATGTAAATTAGTGCAAGGGTTGCAAGGTTTTCGATGATTGAGAAGCGCTTGATGTTTACGTCTCCTTATGGAAGCTTCTCTGCTGATAGGCACGTGGATGGAGATAACATAATAGGCTTTCAATTTTTGTCATCAAAAATAAGTGTTAATAGGCTGTAAAAAGAGTTATGACCGTTTAATCTGTGGTATCGATAGCATCACATATTAAACAGATATGACAGCTTTTTGGCGCCAAAATAGATAAACTGTTTTTTCACTGTACTTTTTGCCAAGAGTTACAAAAAATCATAGCATTTGTGTTGGGCACCAACAAACACAAATAAAGTAACTAAGTTATTTGGCAATTTGCATTTTGACGCGAGAAGTTTGCCGGGTGGAAAATTTATGTCATTATGAAAGTTGGAATAAAGTGATGCAAAATGAAAACATTAATAACGCAAATTTTTGTTGTTTGATTTACGAAAGATTATTTTCAATATCTAAATTTTTGTTGTTTGATTTACGAAAGATTATTTTCAATATCTAAAGTAAATTTGAATTTGGAGGTATCTGAAGGCCGTTGGAAAGACTGGTCGGCCAGGTGGGGGTAACATCCATTTCGCAATTTTTGAAATTGTTCCGTAGCTTTCTTGTATATACAGAGTGCGCCAGAACTCGCGCCCCAGAGAAAAAAATGTCATATAAGGTAAGATCCCAGGAACATGGAAAAAATGTTAAAAAACTTTTATCTAGAAAAATTTCGAAGTTATGAGGGTTTAAAGTTTGCACTTTGACTCCATTTTTTTCTGTTAGAAAATTATTTTTCCTAGTTTTTTTGCTATAGGCTATTAAAAGAGGAATCAAGGAAGCTGTATCCTAAATTGTAACTCTGTTCAATGTTATTTGTGGCTTTTATTGGCAAAATTTTTGTCCCTTTACTAAATAATTGTAAAAAAAACATATACAAGATCATCAGTATCATTAAATAGATATAAAAAAATGTCAAATGTCAAAAAATATTATATATTATAACTTGAAAATTTTCTCTGGGGCGCGAGTTCTGGCGCATCCTGTATATGTGAGGTGTTATAACAGGTCTGTTGACCAATGAGATTGCTCGAAATTTTGTTAGACGCACGTAGCACTGTGGTCGTGGTGGAGTGATGGACAATTGAAAAAATGTTGTTAGTTTAAAATAAAATTCTGAAGCGAGCACTCGATTTTTTTTGGATTGATAAAAATGTTTTTTTGATTATTGCAACCGCAATGAAATTAAAAAAAAAGATAAAAGATTAAGACCTTTATTTTTTAACTATATTTTGTTTGATGTCGATGTCGATAATCTTCATCGTCACAATTTTCGTCTATATTCTTTTCGGTAACTTGTGGCGTCACAATTTTCATCTATATTCCTTTCGGTAACTTGTGGCATAACAAGTTTTGGTTGCACAAGTTTTGGAGCTTTCACCTTCCATCGACGATCTATGTCCCTCATCCATTGTTGTGTGGGCTAAACACTTATGTAAAGGATTGTATGGACACTCTACAAGTCTACAATTTAAAAAAAAAAAAATAATAATCAACTAAGTAAAGTATGTACAATTAAAACAAGAAAAAATATGACATACCATTTTCATCCTTGTAAGAGTTGAAGCGCATCATGAAGCTAGAGTTGATTGTAATGTTTCAAATTGGAATTTAAATGTTTCCAGTCACTCTACGTCGCACTCGACTACTTGCTCTGATCATTTTAACGCTGCATCTTGCGCCTAAACCGAAACGAAATTCCATAATGTTTACTTGACCTTGAACTCCTTAAAACGTTCAATGGTTGTTTACTTCAAATAGTGATTCAAATAAACCCAGCTGCTACGCCTTTTGAAATGTAGTGTCCCTGTATTAAGATACAGGGACACTATTGAAATGGGCATGGTTGCGCCATCTACAGTTTTTGTTAGAACCATTCTTTAGATATACAGGGCATTTCACGAGTAATAATGAGCCCGACCAAGATTTATAAATTATAAACTAAGAAGGTTGCCTCGTAACTTTACACCAATCACGTGTGCGCATTATTCGCGCGAATTGACGTCACTGGAGTGACCGTTCAAAAATAGGATATGCAACCAAATATATTATTAAGTTAAAAAACTAGAATTCCGTAAAATAAATACTGAGAAAATATTTTTTATTAAGGGAAAAATGAATAAAATGTACAGGGTTATTCATAAATATGAAGCAATATTTGAACGTTAAAAATGACCCATAAAATGATGTTAATTTTTATAAAAACTCGTGTCCTATCTCTACTGATAAGAATTTTACAGCCCTTGGAATTTGGGTATGGATTTTTTTTTTTTTTGTAATAACTTTGGAACCATTTGACCAAATATTATAAAATTTGGAATAGTCACTTGTTTAAAATTAACATCATTTTAGAGGTCGTTTTTGAGGTTCAAATATTGATTCATATTTATGAATAACCCTGTATACATAGATAAAAAAATATTACTCTTTTTGATAAAACTTACAATATTTTATTTTTTATTATACCTGCATAACACGCTGAAATTTTAAAGTTGTCTAGGTAACAAGAAATAGTGAAATGTCTGGACCAATTACAACGTGAAAAAATGTGCTTAACAACGTAAACTAGTAACCGTCTGTACGAAAACGATTCACAAACAACCTTTGATAATTTTATTGTGTAAATTCACATTCACATTTTTTCAATGCTCATAAAAGATCGTAAATGGGCAGGTATAGTAAAAAATAGCGTATAACACTCGTTTATAAGCGCCTTTAAAACACGACGTTAAAAAGCACTCCTCTGACCCGTCGTGCGTGTTTTAAAGGCTTGCTTATAATATACTATTTGGAAACCCACTCTTAGTGAAGTAAATAAACTATTTCAATTTGAAAAATGACAAATGGTAATATTGTAAATACAAGGTAATATAGTAAAACATAATCCGGTACAAACTCGATTATACGTAGATTTTTTTTATTACAGTACATAGTTATATTTTATTACCTTTCTTGTTGCGTTTTGAATTGCTTAAAATTAATATAAAGTTGCATTTATTTTGATTTTTATTTTGTAAAGTGTTTTTTAGATTAAAAAAAAGTATGTTTGGGTCAGTTCGAGTAGTTTCAGGTCGGTTCAGGTCACTTTAGGCCACTTCGGGTTACTTCGGATTACTTTGGCTTGAAGTAAAAAGAAAGTGTTTAATATACTGACTTTTGATTTTCAAAAAAAGAAAAATTCTTAAGGAAATGTTTAAATTTAGTTGTAAAAATGCCAATCGAGACGTTTCAAAACATCATGTTACAAAAGACAGTTGGGGAGACTAAGAAAGTGTCAGATGTACTGGATTAAAAAATTTCTAGACTTGCAAAAAACATTTAAAAATCTCTTAAAGAAATGCTTAAATTAAAAAAAAAATGTCATTCGAGACGTTTCAAAACATCGTGCTACAAAAGACAGTTGGGGAGACTAAAAAAGTGTCAGATGTATTGGTGTAAAAATTTCTAGAGTTGCAAAAAAACATTTAAATTTTTTTTAAAGAAATGCTTAAATTAAAAAAAAATGTCATTCGAGACCTTTCAAAACATCCTGCTACAAAAGACAGTTGTGGAGACTAAGAAAGTGTCAGAGGAACTGGATTAAAAAATTTCTAGAGTTGCAAAAAACAATTAAAAATTTCTTAAAGAAATGCCTAAATTTAAAAAAATGTCCCCCACGCATTTTACTAAATTCATTCGCATCACTTGAATACAATAAAAAAATACACAACACAAAACTCACTATTTCATCTTTGAATCGCCTACACTTGATAATTATCAAATTCTCATCGTATGTCTGTTTCAGAAAAAAAAACTCACATTTACCTAAAATCACTCGCGCCACTTGAAAAAATTATAAAAATACACTTCACTTGTGGACAAATCCTGTTGGATTTGACTAAGAGTTTCATTTTTATTTAGCAAAGTGTCTTTTACACAGTGTAAAATAATGTTTGGGGCCCGATGGGACTCAGGAGGCCGCGCCCCCGACTGGGGCTTACGGGGCCGCGCCTCCGATTGGGGCTTACGGGGGCTGCGCCCCCGATTGAAGCATACGGTTGATCCAGAGAAAGGTAATTACGTCACCCTTTTGCGTTTTTCAAATCACACACAACGTTTATCACCGTATTACCGAGGTTTTTGTTTGATTTTCTTAAAGAATGTGAACCATATTGACGCGAACTGTCAGAAGTGTCACTCTTGGTTAAGGTTTTTTTTAAACATAAATTAAATAGAAATTTAGTCACTTTTAGGCCTTTTTCAGTCATGAAAGTTTCGCGATCCATAGATTTTTGATGAAATTTTCGTTTTCTATCTTTGCTTAGTCTCCGCATTTTGCCGTTTTTCACTTTTAGTGGGGCTCGCATAATTGCACTTTTTTCTCCCAAGAAAATTTGACGGGTGAAATCTACTTAAACTTTTTGCAAAACATATTAGGGCCAATTTGCCATTGGCTGTCTATCGTGGTTTGTGGTTTCAACATGATGACACATGTTAGGCAGTACCTAGACTTATCCCATAAGGAAAGTATTGTAATCGGCTGAAATTTGCCCTAATAATCTTCAATTTTTTTGACATTCAATTCTTTTTTTGTATTTATTTATCGTAAAACATAGACAGAAAAAAAATTGCATATTTATATGTATGTATATAGTATATGTCCAAAAGTGCAAAGAACTAACAAATAAACGGAATTTACTATTTTTCTTTACAATATTATGACTGAAATATCAACAAGGCGAGACTATGAATTAACAAATTGCTAAAGTCGTGTGTCGCTGCGTTTTAATGTTTTAATAAAGTTTAAAAAATTTGCTAATTTTCATTGCGTTCTAATGACGCCAGAACCTGCACGCTACCAAAAATCATCACCAGATCATTGGTACTGTATATGCAATACTGTTGTTCGTTTCGGCCAATCCATCAAACGCTCATGCTGTTATAATAATGGTAAAATTCCAGGACACGTTTTTCGCATTTTCTTTATTCATGGCCTCTTCTTATCGATTTTTTTAAAATCATATTGTATACATATGATACTGAAATTTTTGTATCACTTATATGTATATTTAACAATTTAATTCTTGGTTTTAGGACGTACCAATAGTGACAAAGACACCAGTTTACCAACGTTTCAAAGTGGATTACCATCAGCAACGGAACAAACCGTTTTAACACCATCCAGAGAGCCTATAAGAAACCCAGCGGAAGAAATTACACCTTTAGGTATGAGGTAACTATAGTAAATCTAGAAATATTTGGAAACAGAGTTTATCACTTTATGAGCATCATCACCCCAAATGGCCTGCTATCTCAAGCTTAATCCTCAAAAAAGTATTAACGTCTCGCTGTGAAGGTAATAAAAGTACTTGACTCTATTTCCAAATATTTTTAGATCTACTATACTTTTATTATCCACTATTAAATAATACGTAACTATAGGTACATTATGACACTCCTTAATTACACCCGTGACATACTATAAGTCACTAGTGACTTATCATAAATCACGGATCTGTCATTATTGTGTGGACAATGTGATATTTTGGATACTCTAAAAGTAAAAAATGGCAAAATGCGGAGATTGAACAAAGATAGAAAACGAAAATTTAATCAATAAACTATCAAATGCTGGACTTTCATGACTCAAAAAGGTCTAAAAATGCCAAAATTTACGTTAAAAAAAAACATGACCAAGGATGCTTGTATTTCCAATCTTCAATCTAATACACTGATAGTTGTTAACATTTCGCGTAAATCTTTAAGAAAATCGAACGAAAACGATGATTTGAAAGAAGCAAAAGGGTGATGCAAATAGTTATGCAAAGGGCGGTGTTGTTTTCTTGTGAAAGTACGAGTTGGTGTGAATACTCAGAGTGGAAAATGCTCCATTAAACGATTTGATAAAATGTGCGGCCTTATTAACTGATTTCCAAGTAAGTCAGCCCATACGTTAATAGAAAATTGTCGCTGAAAACCTTTCTCTAACTGCATGGGGATTTTCGTCGGACTAAATATGGGTTATGTGACTATTAAATAATCCGTCACGCTTAAATCCAGTTTCATTCGTAAAAATTGAATTATTCAGAAAATCTGAGCGGATTTCAAGCGAGCCAGCAGTTATAACCATTTATGACCAAACGCTGTTCGTTATAACCAATAGTATTCAAGCAGGTTTGGTTATTAATGTCGATGACAGTTGAGGCACAGATTAATAGGTTTCTGTTGCCCCTAATGATCTTGAAGAACAAGAAAAAATTCTAATCGCTATTCTTATCATAGAGGTTAAGTGATTTCTTTTGAAGACAGAATGTTGTATACTATACGAGTATTGTCATAATAATAAACTATGCTACTAATTTAATCATTTGCAAGTGCTTCTTTTTTTAGCCTTGATAACAGAATAGCATATAACTTTTCTTAAAAGAGACACAATCTCCTGTACAATAATGTAATACATGTCTTTCTTTCATTTTAATGAAATTTTATCGTAATTCTGATATTTCTTTTCAGAAAATTTCAGGAACCAAATAGATCTATCACAAACAACAACCGGTATGTATCTGTAAATTTTTGTTTTTGTAGTCTTTTGATAAAGACAATTGTAGGTAACGTAGACCGCCATAACATTGATTTTAAGGACTTGATTCAAAATGTTAATCCAATTAAAATCACATTAAAAAAAGCTTTGGAAGTTTCAACGGAATCAAGGGTAGAATCTGATGTCTTTAACGAAAATTTTGTACAAACAAATCAATGTGAAGCTTTTGACTATGAAAGTGAATACTTACCTCCACGCATTTTTCCATCATATGTGTCTATATATGAAGATATAAACGAAGGAATAAATGAAATTAAGTGTTCCAAACAAAATCAAGTTGTTCAAGTAACAAAACCTTATTTTAAAGCCCTGAAAAGTTTTTCATTAGGTTAGTAATACTCTTCTCTTACCTTATTCAAGTATTGTGATTGTTTTCTATATTTCAGATAGTAATGCAGTTCATGAGGTATGTCGGATTTGTTTCCGTTTATTGAGAGAAGAAGAAATTGTAAAACTTTACGATGAGAGAGAAGATATAAAAGAATTGAAATATATGTTACAATTCATTTTACCCGAATTGGATCTTGAAATATACACAAATGTTGTTGTTTGTACAAAATGCAGAGAACTTTTGACTTATAGTTGCCAATTACGCCAATCTTGGATTTGTACCGAAGAGAAATTGCAAAAACTAGTGGAAGAAAAAAAGAGTATGATAAATAGTGCCTCTGATTTAGTTATTGTAACTGACTCATCAGTTGGTGATGTGATGACAGAACACGATCGAGACGTAACCACAAATCATTTTGATCACGATTATGAAAAAATTGTTGAGAAAGCACCAGAGAAACATGAAGTGCAAGTTGTCACGCGTAGAGTTCTTCAAAATCTTCCGGAAGCAACCGATAGCATAATTTCAAGTCACGGTGTGCTTAGAAAGAAGAAAGTAAATTTTTTCTACAAAGGGGTTAATTTGACAACAACTCATGCGGTAATTGGATTACCAAGAAGAAGAAAAGGAGGTGCGGCTACTTGGGCTGAAGGACCATACATTTGCGAAATGTGTGCTTTTAGCACCAAGAGTTTGGGATCTTTTCAACGGCATTTACGAAAACGTGCAAACGAAGATTGTTCAATGAAGAAAAAGCCAAAGATTAAAGCCTTCAAATGCGACAATTGTGATCAGTTGTTTACAAGCCAACAACGTCTAAAACAACATTTCTCGAAGCATCAGATTTACAGATGTGGGATTTGTGATAAAGACTTTAAACTGAATAGTGTATTACAGAAACATATTAAACACGTACACTTGAAAGACTACAACTACTATCAGTGCCACATGTGTGGAAAACAGTTTTGTTATAGAAATTCTCTAAAGGCTCATTTGATAACCCATAATGCAAAAACGATTAAGTGTGATCTGTGTCCCAAAAAGTTTGCCACAAGGGTTGTGTTAAAGAAGCATCTTCGAAATGTTCATAGTGATGCTCCTCCGTTAACTTGCCATTATTGTGGAAAGTCTATAAAGTTTAAAAATTCATTGGAAAAACATATTCAGGTGTATCATCTCCGTCAAGGTGATATTTGTGACATCTGTGAGAAACCACTTTCAAACAACAAAGTCTTAATGAAACATAAATTAATAGTTCATGGTGTTGATGGAATATCGTGAAAGTTGTGCCTTTATATTTTATATAAATAATAATTGTTTACAATGTGGTATTAGGTTATTTAAACCCATGTTTTGAATTCCTATAAAGTAAATATTTCGTAACAGAATAATGTAAAACATGCACTGTAATTATAAAAAAATTAAATTTATTGAAGTTGAATTTGTTACGTGAAAATCACTGAGAAAAATTGTTCAGTGTAGTTTTTGCTGTGATACGATTGGTCTGCTAGTTGCTAACAGTTTAAATTAGATGGAACATTCGTGTTCTTACACTTTATGAATATAGTATGTACTATGAACAAATGGCCAAAATTTGCTGAAACTCATAGTAATAAAATTTAGAGCAGATATTTTACAGATTTTTGAAAAGGGTTGATTTAGACTCGATTTGGTTATTAAAAAAATGTAAATTTCATTTCGATGCGATTACACAAGGCGACAAAAAAAAAGTCATGTCGTGACAACTTGACAAATTTTATATCATTTTGTTCGTCTCAGTGAGACAAATCAAATGCACTGAAAAATTTTTTAAAAAGTCCAGACACTTTGAACAAAATATTTTTTTTCTAATTTAAGTGAATTTAAAATACTTCAACTTTAAAAAATCATTACTCAATAACTATTAGGCTGATTTCCTTCAAATAAAGATCATTCCAAAGGTATGGCCTTGCCCTTTAGAATGATATAAAATTTGAAATTGAATATTGGCAAACTTTTCTTCGAACAGTGTTCGAAGTAAATCGAAATAATCTAAGAAAAATCCTACGAGTAATTTTTTTTTTATTACCATCGTGTAGAGCATCTCTTTATTAGTTGTAATCCAAATTTTCAAAAAAATATACCGAGTAGTTTTCAAGATATGATTTTTTGAAATTATGGTTTGTTAATCAAGCTCCATATAGGAGAAATGCATGTTAATCTTACTTAAAATTACATTTTTATAAAAGTATTTGTTTTAAGACTCTTCTTTTGGTTAAAAATGGTCAATTGCAGCAAATGCTTTCTCATCACTTTCGAGTGATGTTAAATGCAATAAGTCACCTGATTTATTTTGTTGGTACGATTAGCTTCAGTTAGCTTGTAGGTAGTAGTTATTGTGATAACAGTTGCACACGAAGCAACTGACTTATTGCATTCAACATCACTCGAAAGTGATGAAAAAGCATTTGCTGAGAACATTTTCAAAAAAAAGTTCAGAAAGCTAGAACAAAGTGAACAAGTTGGAATCTGAATGGAAAGTCATTTAATTTGAAAAAGATTTGTTCTTATATTTAAAGCTACTGCTCTAAAGTTCTAGATCCTTTTTGCTCAATGATCAGTGATCATTTTTAGAACAAAAAAACTCTTTATTTGCTTTAATTAGTACTCTGGTACTCTTTGTTTGTTTTAAGTAAAGAAACAGTTTTTGTTTATTCTAATTAGAACAAAGAAGGTGCAATTGACCATTTTTAAGCAAAAGAAGAGTCTTAAAACAAATACTTATATAAAAATGCAATTTTAAGTAAGATTAACATGCATTTCTCCTATATGGAGCAATGCTTGAATAGCAAACCTTAACTTCAAAAAATCATATCTTGAAAACCACTCGGTATATTATTTTAAAAATTTGGATTCTTACTAATAAAAAGATGCTCTACACGATGGTGACAAAGAAAAAAAATTTACTCGTAGGGTTTTCCTTAGATTACTTCGATTTACTTCGAACTTATTCGAACACTGTTCGAAGAAAAGTTTGCCAATATTCAATTTGAAATTGCATATCATCCCTTTAGAATGGTCTTTATTTGAAGGAAATCGGCCTAATACTTATTGAGTAATGATTTTTTAAAGTTAAAGTATTTTAAATTCATTTAAATTAGAAAAAAATTATTTATTATAAAGTGTGTGGACTTTTTGAATTTTTTTTATTGCATTTGATTTGTCTTACTGAGGCGAACAAAATGATATAAAATTTGTCAAGTTGTCACGACATGACTTTTTTGTCGCCTTGTGTTATTAGAAAAAAAAAAATGAGATCTCGCAATATTCAGTCAGGTCAGGTCAGCTCGTCAAAGGACTTACATTGTGTAGAAAGTAAATCTTAAGTTTTTGAACTAGTGAAAATTTACACAAGTGTCTTTGGACCAATCAGTATATGAGTTCGTTCGACTTCCGACCTGACGCAAACGCGGCTTTTCAAAAATAGACACCGGCCGGTCCGTTCATTTTTACCACAGTACAAACACATTTCGGTTCTAGTGAGGTTCTGTGTTTGATTTGATTAAATTATAATGGCTTACAGTTGGGACAACAGAGTTAGTTTCGTCGTCAAATATCTTTACGGTGGGTAATTAAAATAACATTTAAAAAAAGATTACTTTCATACTTCCGTGTCGGGAATAGAACTGTCACTATTCATAAATCAAGAGGTATTTTCAAACCTACACACCATGTTTTTGGCGAAAATAGACTAGAATTATATTATTATAGTTCGTATTATTCGCTTTTATCTAAACTATGAAGCCATACACTATTAATAAAACGTTACAGGACTTATTATTTTTATTCCGTTTTCACTACTGGTTTATTTATATGAGCTAGTAATTGATGAGCTACATTTTGTCGATTTCATTTATTTCTAATTTTTGGTGGTTTTTCTAGTCGAGTCATTGTACTCTGGAATAGAGTAAAAACCTATAATTATTTTAAGCTTCATTGGCAAAATAGCGAAAGCTTTGCCAATAACAATTATTAACTCTGTTAAAAAGCCAGCTGTGGCAMTTACTTAAAAATAGACTATTAAGATAACGGACAATATTGTTGGTGTTAAAGCGCGAAAATAAGACAAAATTTATTATGGGTATCCCCGGATTGAGTATTGCCAACTGTTCAAATTTCAGATACGGATAATAACGGTTATTTGGACGAGCGCGATTTCGCCTGTCTGGCCTTAAGGGCAACGATAATTGAGGGTAAAGGAGAATTCAGCTTTTCACGTCTTCAGGAGTACCAACATATCATGTTGAGTTTGTGGGAAGAGATTGCTGAATTAGCCGATTTCAATAAGGTTTGGCGTTTAGGTAGTTTGCCAGCTTTATTATGAATGCTAACAGCTCTTCTGCACAGTGCACAGATTTTCCATTTCCACACACATGCGCTCATTTTGAGTAGGTAGAATTGAAAGCGCGAGTGACTAACATACCAAAAAAGCTCTTCAATCAAAACAAACTTATTTTGCAGTGATTATGGGCCCAAAACATTGTGTTTTTGACTTTTTTTATTATTTTTTTAAACAAAAAAATAGTTTTTCTTATCAAGCTAAAATAATAGTTATTTATTGTAAGAGTGTGTTAGATAGCGTTTTATTCACGCAAGAATGTTTAACCGCGAGAACGTCAGTTCGAGCGACTAACACACGACTGCAATATAACGTTTTATCCACAATCACAAGCCCAAATTATTCCAAACTTAATTAAAAATTAAACTGACATTTAAACGTCACGCCAAATGTGCTTTCGGTTAAACGTAGTAAGCTGTTACGTGATGCACTAGTTACTAACAGTGGAATAAAGTTACTTTATTCCACTAGTGGATAAAGTGGTACTTTATACGCATCTAAAGTGTGGAATAAAGTCTCTTTATAGAGTGATTGCGAATAAAATTTTTTATTCATGTTCTGAAAAAGAAGGCTGGAATGCCACATTTTTTTAAATACATATATATTTTGGAGGTTTTAGTCTGCTGTTTTATGTTTTAAAAATTCGAAAGAAGAAGACTTACGTGAAATGTGAGTTATTCTTTAAGAGAATTAGAATGAAAGTTCTTCATCTAAAAGTTTTTGTTAGCAATTTTGATTTTCAAATCTTACTTAGGATCATTATAAGGTTTTTTTAGGGAACTTTTATTTCTTATTTTTTGGCTAATTTAAACGTCACGACAAATGTCAGTTTAATTTTTAATTAAGTTTAGAATAATTTGGGCCTGTGATTTTACAACTTTATTCCACTAGTGGATAAAGTGGTACTTTATACGCATCTAAAGTGTGGAATAAAGTCTCTTTATAGAGTGATTGTGGAAAAAAGCCTTTAAATTCTTAAACTGATACAAAAAAAGAAAAGTTAAAATTAACACTTTCCTCCCAACAGACTAAATTAATTAATAACATTTAAAAAATTAGAAGTATTTCAAATTATACAGGGTGTTTGAGGATTGCGAGTAAATATTTTAACCACTAATAGGACTCGTCAAAAGAAACAACTTTCGTTATTCCAACTTTTGTCGAAAGCACGTCATTTCTGAGTTAAAATTAAAAATAAGTTGAGGCTGAAAACCCGTCCCCGCCTATGTCCTAATACGATGTTTACGTTCATTCATAAGAAAAAACTACGGAACGTAAACAGCGTAAAGACAAAAAAATTATCGCTACATTAGGGTAGATCAGTGTCAATGATAGTGAGTCTTTCTATTATAAAAAATTGCTCGAAATGTGGTCATTCGTTGTCAACGCACACTTCTTGTACTCTTCGGGCTAGGGAAGCTTGCGTTCGCACACACAGCCCTTCGAAGGTATAAATTTGAGCTGCGTACACTAATTCACTAATTGTTTCATGTGATCTTCCAAAAAAACACACATATTTAAATCTGGTGACCGCGGTGGTCATTGGCGACCAATCCATCTCTAGGGAAAATGATTGTTCGATCCATTGGTTGACGACTTTGACATAATCTGATGGAGCTCCACTTGTAAATACCGCATGTGTCGCCAAGGGGACGTCCTCCACCAGATTGGACAACACATTTTCCAAAAAATCCAGATAAACGGCACTAGTTAAACGTTGAGATAATATGTGGGGTCCAATTTGGTGATCTTCAATGAATGCTGCCCAAACATTTAGTGAAAATCGGTCTTGGAAGTGATGTCTGTACACTAGTTAATTTGGCGTTTGGCCAAAATGACTTGATTGACAATTTGATTTCAAGTCGATGTGCACAATTCACCCGAAAGCGCATTAACGACTGACTAAACTGACACGTGTAAACAAGTGATAATTTTTCTGGACAAAAAGTTTCCTTGTTTCTGTATAAAAACTTTCACGGTCAACATACGAGTACAATGCAATTTATTTTCATTGATATTTTTACTTCCAACTAACAAGGACAGACACATTGAACGGCTCATGAAAATCATAGGGGGGAAAATTGCAAAAATAAAATTTGGATACGGAATTTCTTTGGTCTTCAATTCGACTTTTCATAACAAATTCTCTTAGTGGTTAAAATATTTGCTCGCAATCCACAAACACCCTGTATGTCAAAATATACAATTCAATTGCAATTTTAATAATAAAAATCGGTATCAAGGAATTTATTAGTCAGTTTTTTTCAATTTCAGTTTATTGTAAAGTACTAGATTATTAGTCAAAAACGAGGGAATAAAGCGTCACTTCATTCCCCGTTGGAAAGAAATTTTTATAATTTTTTTCAATTGGGCGTAGATGTAAGAAATGTTAGCCCCTCGCACCGATGCTTGGTAGAGTTTGGTCTTTGTAGCCTAGATTCTGTGGTTTAGATCCGGGCCCACGACACACAATCATTTAACATTCTTGTAATATTTCTGACACAGGAGCTCTTACAGGACGGCAAAATCACCACCGAGGAATTCAAACAGGCGGTTCAACAATGTTGCATGGGTCGGAGATATGAGGACTTCCCCCAAGCTATGAAAATGTTCATCGACTCTAATTTCAAAATGGTTGATTTGAACGACGATGGAGTTATCGGAGCGGACGAATATAGATTCAACTGCGTTACAAAATTCGCAATAGATGACATAGAAATCGTTGATGAAGCTTTCAACAACTTATTAAGCGTGAGTTAGGACGTCGAGCAGGCTATGCAAGTCATGTGATAATTTACAGGATGATGATAGGCGAAGAGGTGGTTTAACTTTGTCGCGTTACCAAGAATTATACGCTCAGTTTCTTGGCAACCCTGATGACAACTGTCCTGCCATCTATCTGTTTGGACCCTTAGCAGAATTCCAACTTTAAGTCTGATACTAATTTAAGTGTTATATTGTTTTTGTTGCATTTTTTAAACGAATAAATTTTTAGCTAATAAAACAAACGAGTTGTAAAATACATTTAATCACACTCTAGCACAAAAATATAAATTTACAATAATTTTCGGAATGTTAGAGGACAACTTAATATGAAACGGCCATAAAAAAGACCCTGTTTTTTTCCCAAACAAATGAGCATTTTTCTAACTAAATATATACAACTTAGCCTTAGAAACACAAAAGCCACATAGAAAAATAAATAAGCCGTTACAACATTTAAGTAAATTTCATCTAAGATAAGTACAAAATTACAACAAAGTCGGTTGTAATTTCATCTTATTGTATTAGTCAATAGAAAAGTTTGCGACCGAGCAGTCTTAGAGAAAAATGATATTTTAATACTTTGGTCAAGATTCTTGATCACAATCGAAGACATGTACACTCACCACAAAACTCCCTGACTATCAAGTAACAAATGAGAGTATAATATATGTACACACCACCTATTCGATAAGTCTAACAAAGGGCTAAATTTCTTTAATAAAACTAACACTTATAATAGTCACATGATTAATCACGTGTCTACGGATACTATAGCATCGTAATGGGCACTTGAAGTGGATGGCAGCAGAGGTGACACAATCGTCGGTGCGCCCTCTGGTGGTGTGTGATGGTATCTGCGTCTGGTTTGCATCACGCCTTAAACAAACGCAAAATCATAAAAAATTCAACAATTTTACAAAATAATGAAATTAAAACTTTGCCACTACGCTGTGTTAATAAACACTACAATGCAATGAAACAAAAAAGAATAGCTAAAATTGACATGAAATTCTTACTCTGCTGAATTCCGTTTCCTGGAAATGGTCTCCGTTTAAATTCCTGTGTTTCGCCAATTTCTCTTTATTCATCGGGGTTCCTGTATTAAAACATATTACATGCTTTATTCGATTAATCATCACAGATGTTTATTTTATTTACACCCAAAAAAATACAAAACCGGCCACGTCCAACGTTTCAAGCCCTATTTACATAAATACCAAAACGTTGAATGGGCTAAAATAAAAATTTCTTGTCCAAAAAAAAATGAAATGATGGCTTAAAATGTAATCACAAAGTGTTACCTTGATGTCTTTTAGAATAACGGATTAAACTAACTATTGTTTATTAAATAAAAAACATGAAATAACCTGTGGGGCGCTCAGAATTTAAAATTAAAGTAACAAAAAGTAAATATTTTCTGTGTCATACTCATAACGATAATATACATTAAAAAAATAGTCGAGAAAATAGTAAACAATTAGTGGAAACTCTTTTTTCAAATGTGTCATACATATGTGACTACAGTATATTTTGTTAATAACTGAAGAATTGGAAAAACTCCAAGAAGTAAGCTGCAAAATTGTAGTAGTAATTTTTTATTTAGCACAAAATACTGGTCTCAATGTAGATTTCTTTGATTTACATTTAAACTATTTACAATGATTGAATTTACCTCAGGACACTTTTATACAGAGCCTGTCACTTTTCATGGATTTTTATTTATTTTAAACCCATACAGGGTCTTTCAGAATTCGCGGCCCATAGAAAAAGTATTGTCGCTGACAATAAGTTACTCAGAAATGTAAACCAATGTAAGCCAATTTTAGCCTAAATATAGATTTATTTGAATCATTTTAGCAAGACATTAGTATTTTAAAGAACAACTTTGTCTAGATAAGAAAAAAAATAAACAAAAAAATAAAGAAATGAATATAACTGTCACATCTGAATTTTGCTAATCAATGTTATCATATTATAAGATTTTATTGATAACTTGATGTCAAAAATCACTAGCTTATTACAGTCATTCGGTACTAAAAATGGACAAACTCGTAAAACTGATTTACGGAAATATTCTCTGAATAAATGCCAATTTTTAATTTTATGAGTATGTTAAAATGTATGATTTTTATGTATTCGAAAATAAGTCCAAGAAAAATATACCCCTTTTCTGGCTTTTTTTTCATTTTAAAGACGTAACGTAGAAAATATTTTTATGAATTCGTTATGAATAGGTAGGTATTACAAATAGTCACCGACCTAATAACAAGTATTTAAAACAATGTACTAAAAAGTCCATTTTCTATTGTTAACCTAAAAAACTGAAACTAATTTAAAACCGATGCTTACAAATGAAAACAATTTTTCGGAAACTGGTTGTATATTTCAAGTTTTCACATAATTAAAAAAATTCGATTTCAGAAAAAAACGTACATCTCAACATTAAAGTTATTTTTTACACCCACATGGTTATTCTCTGATGCAAGAGCCATATTTGTGACAAAAATAATTCAACTTTAGTGCCTTTTTATACAGTTGTTCAAAAAATCGCGCACTTTCATGACACTGTGTTATCGGGCGGTGCCCTAGACAATAAGAAAAATGTAAAAAAAATCTATCTCTAAAAATTCCAAAGTTATAAAGTAATTTTGCACTATGACTATTTATTTCTGTTGAAAAAATAATTTTCTAAGTTTTTTTGCTACAGGCTATTAGAAGAGGAAACAAAGAAGCTGTATCCTAAATTGTAATTCTGTTTAGTGTTATTTGTGGCTTTTATTGACAAAATGATTGTACCTTTAGTAAATAATTATAAAAAAAAACATACACAAGATCATCAGTATCACATTAAATAGACTTAAAGAAATGTCAAATGTAAAAAAATAAAGGTCAAAGTTATTTGACAGATAGAATTTTTTAAACTTTTTTTCAGTACTCTGGGGGACTACCCAATTAGTCCTTTTTAAGGAAGTGCACGATTTTTTGAACACCCTGTATAACAAGTGTCTGAATAAAAACGTGGTCAAAAGTGCTCTGAAAATTTTATGAACATATGTTTTGAATAATGTTAATACCTGTTGGTTGGGGTAATGACATTTTTACCATCTAGATTGTAATATACTATTTCTTGTGATACAACGGTCAAAATTATTCAAAAAAAATCAACGAATTTTGCATAATGTTAAGAAACACATTATTCAACTTTTTCTGATACACTCTGTATACTGATGATTTTTAGTTATGTGCAAACATTCTAACAATAAGGTCGTAGTAGAACTCAAAAGAAGTCAAAATAACTCAACTTGCCAAAAAAAATGCAGAATAAAGAAAGTTTGAACCTATTGAGTATTTTATCCAAAAGACTGAAAGTCTTCTATCACCATTCGAGAGTTGGTCTGACACTTTTTAATCACTCTATGTAGTTTAAAATCACCTGTATATGATTGATATTTAACAATAAATTTTTTGATTGTTGGTAAGACATCAAGGTGGTTACTTGTTACGACATTCACTCAGAAAATTTAGAGTAAGGTAATAGAAATAAAGTTTGTTAAAAAAAAATGTTAATTTTAATATCGTTGTTGATAGCTTTGTGATTACAGTTTATGCAAATGAAGCATTCGAGCATTCAAAATTCACATTCATGATAAAAACCACAATAAATAAATAACAGTAACAACTCACATATAAAATTCATGCCTAATCACCCATGCATATTTTTTTTTTGTATCACAAACATAAAAGCAACAAAGATTAATACACCTTTATTAAAAAGTAGCACAAAAATTTACAAAGATCAAGACAGTAGTAATAAAACAATTCCGTAGCAAAAGACATACGCTACCATAACCCCTCCTATAAAAAGTCGAAACTCACCAACATAACTCAGCAGTACTGGCAGGAAGATCAAGCCGTGCGCAGCCCCAAACAGGACAATTCCCAAATACATCCTGAAGTAGAACACTTGGAAAATCTGCGATTTGGCAAATCCCAACACGATAATCCCCCCGAATTTCGTCAAGGTGATCCCCGAGAAAATTGAACTTCCCATCCTCGTCAGCGAATCGGCCGCTCTTTCCACCCTCGTCGTCTTCAACGAAACGGAGAAACTGTGCACTAGATGCGAGCAGAATTCGACAGCGATTCCCACCGCCATCACCAGATTCACCAACGAAACGGCATTAAGTGTGATGTGCCACCAGTACATCAAGCCGCCTAGATTCACCACAATCATAGTGATGGTTATCACGACCACAGCCGATGAGAAAAAGTCCAATCCCATTAGGAGGAAAGTCACTACGAAAATGGCCGCCAAGCTTATGGCCATACTTTGCAAAGTGTCGGGCCACATGGTCAAATACTGCTCGTAGAAAACGTAAAATACCGAGTATGGAAATACTTCGATATTACTAGAGGGTATTTTGGTGTTGATTGTCTTTGTTATATTGGCGGAGACTTTACGTGCCGCACGCATACTTTCGTAGTAGTCTTTCGACGTTTTCAGAATGGTGTGGTAGGCCATGAAGTACGAAGCACCGACTTGAGATAATTGAGTTGTTTTGTTTGTGACGTAGTTGACGCCTTGGCCGTAAGCGGCGTGACCGGCTTTGGCGCAAGTCTCATCGGGGTTGTCTTGCAGGAAGAAAGAAACAAAGTGTTCGAAGTCTTTGGGGATTGGACGGTGGTTGGTAGGCAGATAGGAGATGTCGCAGGTAGCGCAAGTGCCTGAAAAAACAACGACTTGTTTAAAAATTGTTACGAAATAAATAGTATATTATAATACTAATTTATAAGCAAGCCTTTAAAACATGCGCGACGCGTCAGCGGAGTGCTTTTAACGTAAGTGTTTTAAAGGCGCTTATAAACGAGTGTTATACGCTATTTTTTATAATACCTGCCCATTTACGATATCTTATGAGCATTGAAAAAATGTGAATTTACACAATAAAATTATCAAAGGTTGTTTGTGAATCGTTTTCGTAGAGACGCTTACTAGTTTACGTTGCTAAGCACATTTTTTCACGTTGTAATTGGTCCAGACTAGAGTTCCTATATTAGAAGAGTTGGGACACTGAATGTCAGTTTTCTAATTTTTCTTTTATACAGGGTGACGAAAAAAAAGCTCCCACGATTGAAACAGGCGCGTCCTTTTTTATTGAAACATTGTGACCATCATTCCAAAAATAGTCTAAATAGATTCTTTTTAAAATTTAAACAGTTTGTCTAACAGCACAAAGCGGCAAGTTTACATAATTTTATTATTCCAATACGATACGACCAAAAGGTATCTAATGATGTCAATTAATTTTTTTAATCTTTGACTTTAATCGTTCAAATTTCACAGTACAAACAACATTGAAAATTGATTTTTTTGTTGCTACCGTTTCCAATAATTGAATATTACTTGGACATTTTCTGTATCCTAGAATATTTGCAATGTTGCAACATTGATAATTTTTTTTTGGAGCCAAGAAATGGTATCCTAACATCTTCAATAAAGTTTATTTCAATAGACTTTTTACACATTTTTTTTAAGAACACCGTCAACTTTATCAAAATCTAGACTTTAACAATGAAATTATTTTGAAACTGTTAAATATTTAGATTTCTCTTTTCTAAAAAGGAAAGTCGATATCTTACTGATAAGAGCACAAATCCAATTTTGGTCTTCGAATTCGTCTTTAATAAAACATCACTTATTACGTGTGGGTTAACACGGGCGCCTTTTTTTCATCATAGCGTATACGTCGGCTAACGTATAAAAACAATAAAATGGGATACAAATCAGTGGCGTTTTGGTAAAATTTCACATAAAGTCAGATAAATTTGTCAAATAAAAATTAACCTCTGTCCTCGATCATTCTGACCAATTCTGCTGTGTCCTATTGTGTTAATACATAAAGAAACTGTGAGTAGTTTTTTGTGTCACCTTGTCCCAACGCTCGAGACAGTGTAAGACAAATGGAGCGTTGGTCCCAAAAGTAAGATTTATCAAAAACGAAGGTGAAGCTTTTAACAAGAGCAAGGACTTATTATTCCGTTGTTTGGAGTATTTTATTTTATCAGGTCAGGTCAGGTCTAATTTTGTAAGTTTCAGGTTTTGAAAGGTTTTCTGGAGACACTATCAAGTTTTTATTATTCATGGTAAATGCTGCATGCAGCAATTGTTTTACTTTAGTGTATACTTTTTGTTCACATAGTTTTTTCCTGCCTGGCCGCATCTCAATGTCTATTTATCTCCTACGTCCCTGACTAAATCTGACGTAAAATTATGTCAATCTGTCAATGGGACAAAATTTATAACCTTAAAATAATTTTTGAAATAGACTTGACATAAGTTGCTAAGAAAAATTTTAATGAAAAAGGAGAGAACGTATATACCTTATCCACATAATTCAAAATTGGCTCGGTTTGACGTTCAGTGTCCCAAATCTTCAAATACAGGGTGCGCCAGAACTCGCGCCCCAGAGAAAAATGCCGTGTAAGGTTAGATACCAGGAACATGGAAAAAATGTTAAAAAAAATTTATCTATAAAAATTTCGAAGTTATGTGGGTTTAAAGTTTGCACTTTGACTCTATTTATTTCTGTTGGAAAAATAATTTTCCAAGTTTTTTTGCTTAAAAGAGGAAACAAGGAAGTTGTATCCTAAATTGTAACTGTGTTCAATGTTATTTGTGGCTTTTATTGGCAAAATTTTTGTCCTTTTACTAAATAATTGTAAAAAAAACATATCATCAGTATCCTTAAATGGATATAAAAAAATGTAAAATGTCAAAAAATAAATGTCAAAATTTTTTAAACATTTTTTTCATGTTCCTGGTATCTTACCTTACTCGAAAATTTTCTCTGGGGCGCGAGTTCTGGCGCACCCTGTATAGGAACTCTAGTCCAGACATTTCACTATTTCTTGTTACCTAGACAACTTTAAAATTTCAGCGTACTATAAAGGACAAATTACGCACGCTGCATCATGTTTTAATTTAGGATTATGATGTAGGTATAATAAAAATGTACTTCTTCACCTTTAGTATGCGGACAAAACGCCCCCGTTGTCTTATTGTATTTACAACACGTCCTCGCCGCCGCCGACCAATCTATATAATCGTCCAACCAACTAGAACTCGGTCTCGCGATGTACGTCCTTTCGGGCACCTTCGAAGCCTCAAAAACTTGTGTAATCAACGAATCCAAATCGCAATATTGTCCACCACAGATCACATTTTGCGTCTTCGTATCGCTGTAATTCAATCCATCCTTAACCACGAAATACATCGGCGGTCCTATACTCAAATCGTCTTTCAAGAACTTGAAATATTTCAACACGTAACTGTCTTCAGGCATCGACAACTCCTGATCCAAACCGATCTCAATATGTGGCACCACTGCAATGGAAGAACACAACCAACCAAAGAAAACAATCATTACGAAAGCTCGTACGAAACGGTTCATCAAAAATGGGACATAAATCGATTTGAAAAATGAGTATAAGAGGCCTTCTTGATTGACTTGCGGGATGTTTTCTTTCTTTGATCCTTTGATGAAGCAGCAGATGTCGAATCGGTTACTGGCTTGTCTGATGGTGTCCAATGATAACAAACTGACGAAACAAGTGATCTGGAGGAGAAAATCGAACAATAACGCCATTCCGGCGTACAAAGCGAAGGCTCTGACTGCCGGCATATCCGACAAACTCCCCAAGAAGAAACAACAACTTTCTGAAACACTTGTTAGAAGCATTGAAGGTCCGACTTGGCCCAAAGTTCGACCGATGTGTTGCGCATGTGTCTCTGTTGGTCTCTTCCCTTCTCTCTGATGCGTTTGAACCAAAATAAAAATGTTATCCACACCCACAGCCAACACCAAAAACGGTATAACTTCGATAATGATCAAAGTAGCCGGCAAACCGACGAATCCAAACAGACCAACCGATGAAACAACCGAAGCTAGAACAATGAGGACTCCTCCCAACCCCAATGTGATTTTACTATCAATCAAGAGCCTACTACATGTGTTTACTTGTCCCAAAGACACTGCTATGTATGCAAACATGATAATGTAGGAGATGAGGATCGTGACGACATCGGATTGGCTTTCGCGGTCGAGTTCGTCTTCGATTGAACGTTCTGAAGTGAAGGCGATTTCCATGTAATCGGGTTTTTCGGTGGCCGTCCAGTTTTTCATAAAAGCAACGAAAGCCTTTTCCCATTCCATTGCCGGAGAAAGTTTGGTTTTATTGTGGTAGTTGTTGACGAGGAATGTTAGGATAACAGCCGTGGCGTTTTGGTAGTTTGGTTGTTTTGAGAGGTTTTCGCCCGGTTGGAGGAAACCGCCCATTGCAATGGCAGGATCGACGGGGCCGCCGTAGGGGGCGAGGCATTTGGGGTTGTAGGGGTTTCTGAAAAAAGACAATACTGTTTTACGAATATTTTCGGTTGAAAAATTCTTGTGGTTTTATTATCTTTGTTTTATTTTACAATAATCAATGTTGTTATCGCAGTTGCTATTGTACAGTTGGAGACAAAATACTTTGGTCGTCAATGTCACTTGAATGACATTAAATTGTAAAGCATGCTTTAGGACTGTTAACCTTATTTTTAGCTACTGTCAATCATAGTTGACAAGTTGTACATATTTTTGATAGAAAGGTATAATAGCTGTCATTAATTTGAAATTCTCATTCATTTTAACGTTAAAGCTTGAATTACATTAAAGTGTCAGAAAAATGACGACCAAAGTATTTTGTGTCCAACTGTACAAAGTAATTGCAATAAAACATTCTTTCCAATTGAAAAAAGGTCTTTGATAAATTTTAATCCATTTTTGAATGCTACGAGTACAAGAGTGCTCTAAACCTTTAAGCGTAGTTATGTGCGATGTGAATATTTACACACCTGGGTCACATATTTCTAGTAACACGTGTTTAGTAAGTTTCCATTTTAATGTAGGTATCGTTCTGGAGTTTCATTAGAAAAGATAAAAATTTTGAAACGTATTTTAAATCTTTAAATAACTCTCTAATAAAATTTTCAAGAAAATTCTTATAGCTTGATTAATCATATGTTTAAAAATAGAAGGGAAAGACTTAAAGCATTCTCGATATCTTTCAGGCATATAACAAATCATTTTAAACACTTTTCCGTAAACATGGGATGTCTGTGATTGATACATTAATTTATTTAAATCCAAGTGTTCTACAATGTTAAGTAAGAAAAGGATGCAACCAAAAATATAAACCTTCCATTAAAAATTGTTAAAAAAATTAAAGAATTCATATTTGTACAGAGTGGTTATAAATGATTTTCATCTAGCCAGCTGTGAATTTTCCATGTAAAATAAAAAATGCCGCTTTACGAAAATGGGGGTACCTACTTGTTTTAACTCAAAATTAAAAAATCGCCGTTTACTAAGCGTCCACTTCGAAAATAGACTTCAATTATAAACTTGTTTTCTTCCAAAGTATACATTATTATCAATTATTATTGGAAATTAGTTGAAACAATAAAAATTTAATTAACAACAATTTTTTATTAATTAATAAGTGACACTAATGGCAGAACTAGAGCTTTCAAAAAAGTAGAGCGGCACAAATAAAGTTAAATGTAAAAAAATTCCAAAGCTGGCTAGATGAAAATCATTTATAACCACTCTGTACAAAATTCATCTATGTTTTCGTACTATATTAAAGTTTATCAGTTTGTGATAAATAACAAGTCAAAATTCTTTATTTTTTGTTTGTCAATAATAATTACGTATTTGTAAATTCCTGACTAACCAATTAGTTTCTTAGTTGCATTTTACGTTTACTTTTTGTGGTTTAATTATTTTGTTGCAATATTTAAATAAAAAAAACAACTTTTATTATTACATTCAGTTTTTTTTTATTTAAAATATAATTAATTTATAAGTTACTTGTGTAGTAGTAGTAACTTGTGCAATAACCGCAAATCAATCAACATTAATTTAATTTTTAACCTTTAACTATATTAACTACTTCTGTTACTTTTTGTAATTTTAGTTAAGAAATTCTTTTTGAAATGAGCAGTTTTCCATATTCCAATATAAATCGCACATTGGCGACAACAGTGTCATAAGTCACAAAAACAGATCTAATGCATTAAGTGTAAAATTACTCATAGTTTATGCTGGAACATATAGGACATAGGAATATTTTTGAAATTGGCCTCTAAATTATGAATATATCGAGAGATCAAGATAATTTGTAATCGAGTCATCTTTGAATCCAAAAACGTATGTCTGTTTTTGAACCAACTGCACGAGAAACGTCAAATAAAATGACGAAACGTAAAACCGCAAAATGGGTAAGAATTAATCGCCGACGTATAAAGTATAAATTATTAAAATCACCGTCACCGCATTGTATCAAAGATCATTCACTTATAACGTAATTAGAACAAATACATCGAAATCTTTAATTCTAGAAATTCAGTGTTTACGTTTAAGAGTCAAATTAAGAACTTGCTTTTGAATAATTAACTTTGTTCAACTGAGTTGGATAACTTAAAAAATAAATGCAAAAAATTTTATTTCTGTTCAATTTTTGTTTTTTTTTTTTCATTTCTTATTAAAGAATTCTTTCTTGTTTTTTCTTTTTGTTTTT